TAAATTAATCTCAAAGCCTACTTACATAAAGAAGTATGAATAAATAATGATTTGCCTATAGAAACAGATTGATGTCATATTTTGTAAAAAAAAGTCTAATTAATTCAAGCAAATATTTGACTTTGGATAAAAAGTGTTTCCCAAAAGTAGAAAAAATAATGTTTATTAACAGTTTTTCCATTCCTCGAAACTTTTATTCTTACTTTCCGATAAATAGTATTTCATTAAATGAAATAGTATGACCATCACAAACAAACCTAATAAACTAACATTCCCTACCTGTGGAATACCGACAACACCAATGTTTTTTCAATCTTAATCTTCATAATATTTTACTGATATCTTGAATATAGTCATCAATTATTTTCTCTCTTTCCAGATCCAGTTCTGCATCATCTTCTACCACAACTTCAGTGTTATGTTCTGCGAATGCAACTACCCTAAGTTCATCAACTTCTTGCTTTCTCTCAACGCTGGCCTCTTCCTTTACATGTTCGGTAACTTCTACTATGTAAACTACATCAAAAATAAGGCAACAGTCCAAACTCCTCAGGTAACAAGTGAAAAAGCGAAAGAGTGCTAATACAAAGACTTTATAATTATAATTGTGATCGTTTTAGTTAATTAAATTGCAGCTAGATTGTGTCTAGCTTCTTTATGTGATAGATTTGTGTTAAAGGTTTTGAAACTGTGTGTTTACTCATTTTTGTTGCTCATTAATGATCTTAAGATTTAAATGATCTTTGCTCAATTTTGATCCTTCTATTTTTCGTTATGTTTGTCAATTTAATTTTACTCATACCTTTACGCTTATACAGTTATTATTTAATTCATTATTTTGACTTCTATTTTGTTTCACACAGCAATTTTCAAAATCTATAACACTTCATTAAGTACTATGTTAGTAAGCATAATAGACTTGTACCATTTTTTATAGGCTAATGACTGTATATTTGTATAAATAGTTGTAATTTTTGGTTAAGGTATTATGTTATTATTGAATCAATGACATATATTGATTAATTATTTGCCCTAATTTCAGATAGGTACGAACCTGTATTTTGTTATACAAGTCGCTGTTATGAAAAGTTATTTCCACATATGTATGACTTATTTATTTAGCATTCTGTTTGGAGGCTCTTTATTCTGCCGATCTTATGTTTTTCTTAGTTTATGTTATTTTTGGTTTAGTTATTTATTTTTCTTTTTATATTATGTACGATTATTAAGTGTATCTATTTATTTAAATGCTAAATAAATAAGTGATACTTATAAAGTTACGAATGTTAATATTTTACTGGATACAAATTGTTGCAGTTGATAAAATATATATTTTTAGAGCGCATTCTATACAAAATATAGTCAGGGTATTATTTTTTTATTTTTAAAGAGACTATATACTTTTGTTACCACTATAATTATATAAATTAAGCGAGCAAGATAATATAAATATCAACCAAAGAGAGTATACAGAGAAAAACAAGAATATATAGCAACATTTTTTTATTTCTATATTCTATATATATATTTATGACCTTTTATAAGTTTAAAACCAAATGCTTAACAAAAGTATTTAATTGTACTCGAAATGTGACATTTTGTATCGTATTTACAAGTCTGTAAATAAATGTATATTTGGATTATTGAAAATAATTGAATTATTATTTGTTACCGACATAAACAATGCAATAAGACTTGTTAGTTAATGAAGATTGAAATATATGGGTAAATTGAAGTCATTTTGTTTCATTTTTTCGGACCTATCTAAATTCAAATATTTTATTAAAAATAAGTACCAAATTTTTTCTGTCAATATCGTTATGAGCCAGTGCATGCGGCTGGCGAGTTGTCGTTCGACGTGGAGGACTAAGGGGGAGGCCTTTATCCAGCTGTGGACATCTTCCGACTGTTGATGATGACCAAATTTTTTCATTAAATTGTTCTCGAATAACATATTTTAAATTTAAGTAATTGAAATGTAATTACCTTACATACATAACTGGCAATTACTTAAAATGTTTAAATTGGGAGTTATATTACAAACACATCGCACTGTGACTAAAACCACATCAACAGTTTTTGGATCACGGAAGAAGTTAAGTAATTTTTATAGAAATGAAAGGGACTTCATTTAAATGTGTAATTTAGTACCCGTTTGATATATCCCGCAAAGTAGACACTGCTTACCACTACTAAGTTAATATTTAGATGAAGCCAAAGTAAAAGACAACCCACAAATTTAAAAAAAAATTTATATAACATCACATCTTTATCCCAGAAGGGGAAGGCAAAGCTGCACATTACGGCACTTAATACCACTGTACAATGTAACACCCACTTTTCACTATTTACGTTATGAGTCCCATGTAATAGAGGGTGGGATCACCACCTAGATGAGCCTATTGCTATATACCGGGCACATTTCCAGACTCCGTGCTATTACTGAGAGTTTTTTAAAACCCAATTATACTACTTTGCCGGACCCCGGAGTCGAACCCGAGATCCGTTGTTCGGCAGTCGCACTTGCGTATTGCCAACGAGTCAGTCATGTTATAAGTTTTAGTAAATATTAAAGATTTCACAAATTGTGATCAAAAGGGCTTGCCTGCCTCGTTGACTGAAACGATAGAGAAAATATCGACAACTAGACAGACAAAGCCTTAAGCAAAACTTGTGATGACTTCTAATGATAAGCATTATCTTTCTGACAACCCATAAAACAATAAACACTTACAAAATCACTTTCATACATTAAATACAGTGTCCATTTACTAACCCGTTCGATACTCGATTCGCAGAAAAGTCACTATCGCCTACTTTAAAATAGCACGCAAATCTGTAGACCCTTGTTGAGTAGTACCTGTACTGGATCTTTTCCTATTTGGATAGAATGTCAAGCTTTAGAAGACAAAGATAGATAATAATATTTCCTAAAGAACTATCCTGTGGTTCCTGCGTTATTTAATTATGTTTAAACCACGTGGTTAACAGTTAAGCGAAAACCACATTGTGCGACTTTCAAACAATAATAACAATGACACACATAATATGTAGTACTATCTGGATTTACAACAACGGCAATAAAATCCAACAATGATTTAAATGGTTGAAAAAAGTTTTCGAACACGTATATAATTTAAATATATAAATATAATGTATACTCAAATGCTGTTAAATATTTGCGTTAACACGATGACTTTGTTCGTTTGTATGTAGATAGTTTTTGTCTGGATAATCAGAATGAATTCGCGTAATTGTGGGTAAATGTTCATTATTATCAAATATACATTTTAAAATAACAAGCAAAGGACATCATTGAGTGTTTAGCCTGAATTATAGAACCCTTTTTTGAGGAGGAAAATCATCCAATGATTTCTCCTGACTCTTACTGACTGTGGTGGCCCATCTGTGGTGGTCTGATAGCTCCTTGAGGTGCGAGTGGCTCGCGACACGCCGTACGCTCAGGCCTGGTTCTGGTCGGGCGGCGAGTCCACTGCTATACAAAGTCCTCAAATCTCGGTACCTAATGTAATAAATAGAAGGAACGACATTAATTACATTTTGAACCGAAAAACCTCGTCGCGGAGAACTTAACGGGTTACCGGGGCTCCGGCTCGACGTGCAGGAGAAGGAACGGGGTGGTTTTTAGTCAGTAAGAGTCTGACACTCCCTTCTGCCTCACCCAGGCGGAAAAATCATTCGATGATTTTCCCCCCTTAAAAAAAAAGAAACCGAAGAACCTCGGAATAGCTTAACATAGTTTGGCTCGACACTACACATTCTAATTTTACGTGAATGTCCGGTTTATTATCAGGTAATCATTGTTGTATTAAGGAAAAGTTTAAGAAGTCATTAAATGTCTCTGATTTAGGCAGTAAAAGTCATTTCTGTGGAATATACGCTTCATTTCCTTCAAATAATTTTGTGATTGGCCGATTGAATTTTAGGTTTATCAGGTGGCCTATCTAAGCAGTAACTGGATCTCTTGAAATACCAGAATAAAACTTAACTCATGAATAAATAAATAAAAAATTAAGCGTACATACTGGAAAAATAACTGAATAGGGCTTTAACTCTTTTTAGCACACTAAAGGAGTTCATAGTGTTAATCGTAGCTAGGCATCCATTCAGAAAAAATGCCATAACATAATATAAGTGGTTCGACTTCCTTTTCATCTAAGTCGTTCTCTTCATTACTGAAGGTCTACTCTGGTATACGCGTCACTTGATGCACAACCTTCCTCCAAGCGCCTCGTCCACTGCAGTCTTCGTGGCTTGTGGAAATGTCAGGCTGGTGAGGTTTTTTACCGTATCTAGCCAACGGAATGACTGCGAGGTCTTTTCCCTTAACCTGACCAATAGCCACCAGCTTCCCCAGATTTTCGGGACCTCTACGTAGTCCCGATCTCCTTAAGAATGGAGACGTTGGTGCGGCGAGCGGTCCGTCTCCATCACCACATTTTAAAGGCGTAAGTACATCTTTGTTTCCTCAGTTTTCCTTAGGGTCCAGGTTAAGACGCCATACAAGAAAATGGAGAAGATCAGCGTACGGACCACTTTCACTTTGATTTTTAGAGATATGTTTCGGTCCATATCTTGGTGAGTTCCATCATTGATGATTTGGACATCTGGATTCTCTTTCTGATCTCACTTTCGATAAGAGGCCTAGATAACCAGATGAACTGATCCACATATTCCAGGTGGTTAGAGGTAGGCCTAAAATTGTCTTCAGCAAATAAATAGACAGACACTATACACCTTATTAGACATGTCAAATAAATAATAAAGACATTAATTACAAATGTGCTTTACAATTCATGACGATACTAATTAGCGATACAAAGAATTCGTTTAGTGAAACTTTAATGGTAAATAAAATCAATGTGCACCGATGTTTGTGTTTAGTTTTAGTGAAGAAGTGAACCACTAGGCTCGAAAATTCTCTCAGAGAAGGGAAAAATAAATAGTGCTATAATTTTAGTTTAGGAATTTAAATCAAGATGTCGCTCTTAGGCAGAATGAAGGAGACATATGACTATATATTTTATGATCTTTGTGGTAAGTTTTGTTGTGATTTTTATTTTATTTTATAGCATATTTTTTAATTTATTACAATTTATTAAACATTAAATAAAAAAAAGTAAAATAAAACAAGAATAGCTGGCTTACTTTATAAAATAATACAATCATTTATCATTAATTGTAATGATATATTATGATGCAAAAAAATATTTTGTAATAATAAATGACTTGATTTCAAAGACACCAAAAAAATAAAATTATTATAATACATTAATACTAACATTTAAAAGTCTGTCAGAAGTCATGAAGCTTCTTCTTCTCATGCAAATCACGCTACCACCTAAGGAGGAGGAGCTGTGAACAACTATGATCAGACTGTATTATTTGTTGTCCTTAATATTCTTTGTTTCAAGCTCTTTGAATGGATTTTAGTGTTACATTGTTCTCGCACAATCCAAACAACAAAACGATGTAACTAAAGAATTGTATTTTGAACCTGATTGAAAAAGGATCTTAGGAATCTACACCTTGGAATGAGCAAATACATTCACGTTTAATTTTTTGTTGACTTTTAAAAATGCCTTTTTGGACCAACTGAAAGAAATTTACTTTGATTTTGACGATGCAAAGTGACTACTCTACGCGGACGAAGTCGCGGGCACACCTAGTCTAAATATTGATTATAAAAAAAAACTCTTTTTTCGATGCATTGGTATAGTATTGAAAATAATACTTACTATTTTTTTATTTCTTTAGCTATTGCTCGCTCATGAATTATATTATAATATTTTATTATCCATTAATGTAGACATAATTATTATTAATAAACCCTTCTGTCAGTTTAAAATTTTGTAAGTAATTTTACAGCTTTAATAATTATTTCTTACTAGCTGTGCCCACGACTTCATACGCGTGGAAAAGTGATTAACAACTTCTCCCCCGTAGGGTAGGATAGCGTGATAATAAGTAGCCTACATGTTGACCCGACCTATTAGTAATATTCATGCGAAATTTAAAGTAAATCCATGTCTTTTTGAGTTTAGCCCGGACATACATACAGACAAACAGACAAAAATTCTAAAAACCATATTCTTAACTTCGGTATCGCTTGTAGATCACAACCCAAGCATTCTTTAAAAAAATATTCAAAGTACAGTTTTCAATTTCCTACGATTTTATTATATGTATAGAAGATGTATAGATATAGATAAAAAATCTGAACAATGTAATCAGTTAAAACTCGTCAAACTTGTTGAAAGTATTTGAACAAGTTATAATTAAATTTTAATAGTTTTGATCATTACTTGTAACTTGTTGTGTATGTAATATTTTATAGATATTTATATTTTATATTGCGGTTTTTTCGAAACAATGCTTATGTAGATATCGGGTAGGAATGTTATGGAACAAGTTTCATGTATTAACATAACGTAACATAACATCACGCCTTTTATCCCCGAAGGGATTGGCAGAGGTGCACATTATGGGTTAAATTTTCAGTAATAGCACGGATTCTAGAATTGTGCTCGGTATTTGGCCATAGACTCACCCCGTATTACATGGGACTCATAGCATAAATAGTGAAAAGTGGGTGTTGAATTGTACAGAGGCATAATGTACACTTCTGCCTAACCCTTCGGGCATAAAAGGCGTGATGTTATGTCTAACCTTTAATGAAATAGTCCGATCAATGCTATAATGACAACATTTACGGAACGAATCTTTCCTAAAAATATTGTCAAAAATGAATTCATATTTTGTAGTCAGCATTTTTCACAAGCCACCAAATCTTTATTGATAGATACTGTCTAAGTGCCGAAACTAAAACCGATCTTATTCAAAAATGATTTACAGGAACTAAATTTTTTATCAAAACTAATTTCCGAGCGGAATTCACCCAATTACAATTTTCGAAAGTTTCCCTCGATATCTCTGGTCTTCCATCATCAGATCCTGATTTTCTTATCATGGGACCAATCTGGGACTATCTCCTTTCCAACAAAAAAAGAATGATCAAAATCGGCTTATAAATAACGGAGATATCGGCGAACAAACATAAAAAAGCATAATATACATATACCCTCGAATTGAGAACCTCCCCCTTTTTTGAAGTCGGTTAAAACAGATTGTCATTTTCAAAAACATAGTGAAAACATATATGTTTTATGTATGTATTCAAGACTTGCGTAAATGATTGATTTAGTTTATGCTTAGGGTAAAGATCAAATCTATATACATAAAATTAACATATAAGGTCAGTGCAAAACGTAAAAATGTATATTTATTAGTTGTCACTAACTAAAATACACGACTTACAACTGATGAAAGGTAATTTCACATTTTATATATGTGTGCTCTATAATTTTCTACTAGCATCATAATAATGTATGTAACGTATCTTTTGTAAATACCTACGTGAAAATATTGAGGTTTGGGAGGGTCATGCTTTGGCACGAATGGGCCGGCTCGACCGGAGTGATACCACGGCCCCACAGAAACCGACGTGAAACAACGCTTGCGTTGTGTTTCGTCGTGTGAGTGAGGTTACCGGAGGCCCAATTACCTCCCTCCTTAGTCTACCGAATCCCCGAATCCTCCACAATCCTCGAATTCCCAATTCCCAAGAGGCCGGTAATGCACTAGTAACGCCTTGGTGTTTCGAGTGTCCATGGGCGGCGCCGATTGCTTACCATCCGATCCGTCCGCTTGTTTACCGGCTTTTGCTGAAAATAAAGTTAGAAATAACGCCCGAATACTGAAAGGCTACTCAATTTGAAGTCGCGTTTAAGGGGCGATTTTTCAATCATCAGTCAATTCTTAACTGTACAATAAAATTGACATTTGATAGTTATTAGTATGGAAGTCAAATATTCAAACTTATTCATTTGATAAAATTTAACTGAGCATTGAAAAATCGGCCCTAAGTATAGATCTGACAGATCGTGCAGACGGATCACCTGATGGTAAGCAATCGGCGTCGCCCATGGACACCTGGAACACCAAAGGCATTACAAGTGCGTTACTGGCCTTTTGAGGCTTAGGAGTTTTAGGATCGTTGGGGATTCAGAAATAGGGGAGATTGGGGAAGGGGAGGGTAATTGGGCCTCCGGTAACTTCACAAACACAACGCAAGCGTTGCTTCACGTCGGTTTTCTGTGAGGCCGTGGTATCACTCCGGTCGAGCCGGCCCATTTGTGCCGAAGCATGGCTCTCCTATACTTGAAAAAAAGACACAAAAAGAGATGGCACGATATTTAAGTACAACTTTAAATTAAGTAGCCTTTCAGTATTTGGCAGTAAGACTTATAACTTCTATAGTCCAGCAACTACCTAAGTACTATAAAAGGGGTTGGTGCACCGTCGACAAAATTTATTCTCGGGAATTAGGTGATTATTGTGGCTTCTACCCATAAACCCTTCGTCCCAAACGTTATGTTGGTAATATAAGGATGTTTTTTTTTATTGAAATGCAAATATACCCCAAATAATTCATTCAACGCTAAATAACTTTTATATTTGTGGATGCGGTGGTTTAAAATAAATTTGATTATATGAAATTAATGTATCTTAAAACTATATACATCTTTGTTTGGTACATTTTTCTATTACCTAAAAAATCATAATTTATAATCAATTGTGACATTCGGGACGAAAGGTTTACGGGTAGAAGCTAGCTAATGACATCCCAAATCCCTAAAAAACTTGTATTTGTCCATTCGCCAAATACTCTGTACACGCTAAACATAATATATTATTATTTTTCTTTCCAGATCCAAGGACCAGAGATTGGTCTCCATCTCCTGTAGCGGTATACACAATCATTCCATTGTACTTATATTTCTGTAACAAATTGGGTCCACAACTTATGAAAGATCAAAAACCGTTTAAGTTAAAAAGGCTCATAATGATTTATAATATATTCCAAATAATTGCCAGCGGCTATATAGTTTATTTGGTAAGCATTTTTACAACTTTATTTATTTTATTTATTATAAAAATCTTCCTACACTCTCATTACAGGATTGTCCCAATTCAACAGTAAGGCATAATCTAGTTAAAAAAAAAACATATTTATACCTATTACTAAAAAGAAGTAAAAATATTAAACACAAAAATAATAAAGTAGGCCTTATACATATACATACATATATACACATTACTCCTTAACCTATTAAATTACTTACCTTGCATAATAATAACTAAAACTAACCTAAAATTACATAAAAATAATATACAATAGTAGGAATTATTCACTATCATAACTTAAAATAAATAATAGTACTTTTGTGAATTCACTCGAAGGAGTTGTAAGTGTGTAGGAGTGTGTAGGAGTGTGTAGGAGTTGTTAGGAGTTGTAAGTTATATCGTGGAGCTTATTAATGATATGGATTACTTATTGGGATATTTGCTAAGCGATAGTCAAGCTGACCGAGCTGGTCTTGGTAGTACAGGGTGTAAACGGAACGCTCACAAGTGATGATAAAAAATAAGTTTTGTTTTCATAGAAGGAATTAAATGTTTCCTTCATGTAATATAATAGTTGTAATCAACTGCCCAAGGCTGCACAAAAACCAAAATTGTAATAACAATTTATTTTTGTCAGCGTTTCAGCAGCTGTAGCAAAATGCCATTTAGCGCTTGTCTACTTGTATAGTAGAAAACTAAATTATATGGAATTGACGTAAATTTTGTCAGTGTCATCCTCATACATTTAGTTTTCTACTCTTTTGGTAGACAAGCGCTGAAGTGGCGTTTGGCTACAGCTGCACCGTTCCGTTTACACCCTGTATAGATTGTAAGAATCATCGAGACGTCTGAAAATTTTCCTGTAATTTGTACAGATTGTGTAAAAAGTATAGTAGACTTTAAATTACTTTACGCGGCCATCTATCTCTATAAAATTGCCCCGTTGCTACACTTTGACGTCAAAGGCGAACTAACACTTAAAGGATGTGTTTTCATATTTTCAATATAAGTAAAGCATGGTAACTTTGTTAATCTGTACTTTATATGTTACAGGGCCTATACAGTGGTTGGTTTACTACATACAGTTGGACGTGCCAGCCTGTAGATGAGACTGACAACCCTACATCTCGAACGGTGAGTAGACATTTGTATAATTCTGTCGTTCTTATAAGTATTTCAATTGGGATGATGACAGGGTATGAAAATTAAAAATCTAATTAGTCCGTAAGTTATTAGGTAATGAAAAAATATTAGACACGTATTTTTTTATTTTGTCGTATAATAGAACAATACTTAGATAAAACGAATTAAAGTTTAAGAGTGAGGGCTTTTTTTAATGTCATTTCTACGTATAAAATGCACATAAAAGTGACGTCATGCGACATTTCAAATCAATATATCGTCGAAAGTATTCAATGTATGTAGTAATGATTTCAAATAATCTACCAGACGGACATTAAAATCAAAATTAGGCATCTACCCCCTATTGTTTTGTTTGAAAATTTATAAAAAGTGTAAACACAAAAATTGTTTATCTTTTCAATATCTATAACTTTGCCATGTATTTTTTATCCATAGGACTTGTAGTTTTGCCAGAAATCAAGATTAACCATTTTTAAACCTTTAAAGCTCACCCCTCCCACTTCCCGATCTCGAATCTACCATAATTTATTTTTCGTTCATTTTTATCATATTTCGCTCCATTTCTAATGGGTTTCATCTTACTGTATTTTTTTTTTAATATATAGACTGATTCTTAAGGAATGTTTATTTGTACAATATGTGCATAGTATACCCGTGCAAAGCCAGGGCGGGTCGCTAGTATATTATATGTATGTAAAATGATTGTGCTCAATAAAGCATAATTCTGTGCCCCATAAATAAATATTTTACCTACGTATATAATCCTTTCAGATGCACAAAGCGTTCTGGACATACACCGTTGTTAAGTTCATCGACATGCTTGACACAGTTTTCTTCGTTTTAAGAAAAAAAGACAGGCAAATATCTTTCCTGCATCTTTTCCATCATTCTATGATGCCCCTTGCATCGTATATTGGACTCAAATACTACCCCAGTAAGTACTGATTTACTTTGTGCTGTTATAAAAGGTGATTAACCAATAAAAATAAAAGAAAAAAAAATATGATGGAAATATCAGAATACGATTAAATTACATTTAAAAAAAGAACCTTAAAAATTATTTGAACACCAATTACTTAAACTACAATATACAAATGTTAGAAGAAACAGAAAACCAAATATGATAAGTATTTATGTATGTATTTAAGTAGTTGTCATCAACAGCCTATAAATGCTCACGGCTGAGCAAAGCCTCTTCTCACACAGAGAAAGTTTGACCATAGATCACCACGCTTGCTCAATGCGGGTTGGCGATTACAAACTTATAATTAGAAACTATAAGCCCAGGTTTCCTCACGATGTTTTCCTTCATCGTTTGTCGATGGTGTCTAGATAATATTAGAAAGTACTTTTTTCTAGTTATATACTAGGAAAAAGTAATGTATTTAAGTATTTATATTCTAAAAATTAATATTTTAATTTTCAGATGGCCACGCAACTCTGCTCGGCCTCATAAATAGTTTTGTCCACGTAGTGATGTATACTTACTACCTCATCGCAGGCCTTGGTCCTAAGTACCAGAAATATATCTGGTGGAAGAAGCATCTCACTACTATGCAGTTGGTAAGTACATAATAGTTAATGTTCCGTATAAGGAAAAAAAAAACAAATATGTAGGTATTTATTTGTTTGCTACTAACTGTTTGTTAGTAATACCTAGATAACATAACATCACGCCTTTTATCCCCGAAGGGATAGGCAGAGGTACACATTACGGCACTTAATGCCGCTGTAAAATGTAACACCCACTTTTCACTATTTATATTATGAGTCCCATGTAATAGGGGGTGAGCCTATTGCCATATACCGGGCAAATTTCGTACTACTATCTACTGTTTTTTTTTAAATCTGGTAATATTATGCCCGAACCGGGAATTGAATCCGAGACCCCTTGGCCGGCAGTTGCACTTACGACCGCTTGGCCAATGCGACAGTCTACCAAATATATATATTTGGTAATGTATATATATATACATTATCGATAGAATGTTAATATCATCATATTTTTCTTTCTTTCACAGGTCCAGTTCGCCACAATCTTCCTTCACAATCTGTCTGCTCTATACGAAAACTGCGGTTATCCAAGATGGATCTCCACTATCCTCTGTGTTCATAGTCTACAATTCCTTTACATGTTCGGCAATTTCTACTACATGTCCTATGTTAAAGAAAATAAATCAAACTCCAATGGAAATCTCAAAAATGGCACTAGTAAAGTCAAGGCTAATTAATAATTAAACTGATTTAGACTAATTTTAAGACTAACTAGTCCTACACCTCTATTTAATGTGAAGCTAAGTTGTGATCAGATGTGATTCATAGTTGATATAAGATGATTGGACTCCCTGAGTTTGTAGGCTACCTATTTCGAAGCACTACTATATAGCTGAAGTTGTAAAATACTGCAGAGTGTATTAATTTAAATAATACTTATTAATATATACATATAATACTTATTAATATATTTAATAAATGACTGCACAGTTAGTGCGATGGCTGGGCAACCGGCTGCCGCGCAACGTGTCGCGGTTTCGATTCTCGTATGGAATAACTCTTTGTGTGATCCATAAATTGTTGTTCCGGGTCTGGTTGTGCTGTGTATATGAACTTGTATGTTTGTAAACGCACCCACGACACAGGAGAAAATCATATTGCGGGGCAACGTTTAAAAATATATTATATTGTCATGTGAATCGTAATCGTCATTCGTAAAGGATTTTTTGGACTACTGAAAAACTTTGATCGAAATGCATTTTTTAACCGACTTCAAAAAGTACATATTTAGTTTGACCTGTACATTTGTGTATATATATGTAATGTATGTATGTAAGTAGTTAGTAAGTATGTATGTATATTCAAGATAATATCGCTATTGGCTGAACCGATTTTGATGTCATCAAAGTGTTTACGTTACACTTAGGTTTTAGTATATCAACTAACCGACTTAAGACCAGAGTTGTTAATATAGCTTATTTATGAAAATTCTCTAAATTTATTAAAATAGTTATTCTACTATTAGTCTATATCCATACCTGCTAATACTCATTATGTTATGTTATTATAGTTATGTATTTTATTAAAGATGACAAACAAATAATTAATGATAGTATAATTAATTGTCTACTATCGGTGCTTCTATGTTTGTGAGGTTTGATTCGTGTGATTGTAATTTATGTAATTAATTGTAAAATAAATATTATGTTATTTCTATATAATGTTTTTTCTTTTGGAATTTATTGATATAACTAGCTTCTACCCGCGACTTCGTATGCGTAATCCCATTTTTTCCCGTTCCCGTTCTTGATTTTCGGTAAAAAGTAAAAAAAAAAGAATTGGGTAAAAAGTATCCCATGTCGGTCTCCTGGCCCTAAGCTACCTCCCAACCAATTTTCAGCCAAATCTATTTTGCCGTTCTTGAGTTATAAGTGGTGTAACTAACACGACTTTCTTTTATATATATACTAGCTTCTGCCCGCGACTTCGTACGCGCAATCCCGATATTTCCCGTTCCCGTTCTTGACTTTCGGTAAAATGTAAAAAAAAAATTGGGTAAAAAGTATCCTATGTCCGTCTCCTGGTTCTAAGCTACCTCCCCGCCAATTTTCATCCAAATCGATTTAGCCATTCTTGAGTTATAAATAGTGTAACTAACACGACTTTCTTTTATATATATAGATAATAGATTAATGATTCTATGATATTTCTAAATATGTGTTGCTAAGAACAAAAGCCAAACTGTTATCGTTGCATCCTTTTTTAAATAGTAAGTATTTTTTTGTCTATAAGAAGAAAGGTATAGTTATTGGTTAAGTTCTGCTATACAATGTCCTTAATTTCATAAATAATGATTACGTAACATAACATCCCTTTTATCCCTGAAGGAGTAGGCAGAGAGGATGGGGATATATGGGTATTAGCTTTCATATTTTGAATTCCATATTACTAATGAGAATAATGGAACCGTAAAGGACTTCAATTAGGTGTTATGACAAAAACATTAAAAACAACATAACATAACATCAAGCCTTTTTATCCCCGAAGGGGTAGGCAGAGGTGCACACAGAAGTAACACCCACTTTTCACTATTTATGTTATGAGTCCCATGTAATAGGGGCCATATAAGCCATAACAAGCCTATTGCCATATACCGGGCACAATTCCAGACTTCGTGCTAATACTGAGATTTTTTTAAAAACCCTGTAGTACTTTGCCCGACCTGGGAACCGAACCCGAGACCCCTTGCCCGGCAGTCGCACTTGCAACCACTCGGCTAACGAGGCTGTCAGGTAGGCAGAAAATATAGAGGCAGGCAGAATATAGAGGATAAAAAAGGATATATGTTTAAACCGAGACTTATCACTAGTTTATCCGCGAATGCTGTGATACTGCTAATTGTTAAAGAATAGTTTGTAGTGGAATAGTACTAACACTCCAAAAGCGCCTATTGACTTTAACTTAGCAATATGTTTCTGCTTAGTGAATAGAAATAAAATTTTGTTTTTTGTTATAATATTTTCTTAAAAAATTATCACTTACACCTACCTTCGTAGGTAGTCGCCGGTGGCCGCTGTCTACCTACTCCATTATAGACCCTATTTCCGATGTGTAGACTATGAACCAATGTTGTGGATTTTTCATAATCGTAGATAAAGGAGCCTGTAAGTGATAATTTTCTAAGAAATTATTATAATACAATAAATACAAAAATGACTCGGATTTTTTGCCAAAACCTCGTACACATTTATGTATGGGAAACATATTTTTTATGGCATAAGCCGGTAAACGAGCAGAAGGATCACCTGATGGTAAGCAATCGGCATCGCCCATGGACACCTGGAACACCAGAGGCGTTACAAGTGCGTTACCGGCCTTTTGGGGATTGGGAATTTGAGGATCGTTGGGGATTCATAGATTGGGGAAGGGGGGAGTGGTAATTGGGCCTCCGGTAACCTCACTCACAAGACGAACACAACGCAAGCGTTGCATCACGTCGGTTTTCTGTGAGGCCGTGGTATCACTCTGGTCGAGCCGGCCCATTCGTGCTGAAGCATGGCTCTCCTACACCTATGCTCATTGGTTGTCTTCTGACTGACTTGATATTGATTTTAGAATACAGAAATTAAAGTTTCCTAACACTGGAAAAGGAGGATTCTCGGAACAGGCGAGGTGATAATAACTAGCGGGCTACTGCCCAATAGTAGTTTATGGGGGTATTCTATGCATATTTATTCATCTGCAACTCCACTTACGCGAAGTAGAATTTTGTGACGTCACCTTTTAAATGTTGAATCTTTATAATAACATGACAATGTACAAGTGCGTTGCCACATGACGAATAATTTCTGTTTTCTTAGCGCCGAATTTTAAATCATAACTCATAACATCACGCCTTTTATCCCCTAACTAAGAGGTAGGCAGAGGTGCACATTATACCACTGTACAATGTAACACCCACTTTTCACTATTTATGTTATGAGTCGCATGTAATAGGGGGTGAGCCCATTGTCATATACCGGGCACAATTCCAGACTCAGTGCTACTACTGAGAATATTTAAAAAAACCCAGTAATACTTTGCCCGACCCGGGAATCGAACCCGAGACCCCTTGCCCGGCAGTCGCACTTACGACCACTCGGCCAACGAGGCAGTCGACGATTTTTAAATCATTCATTAATATTTAACTGTAGAATAAAATTGACATTTGACAGTTTTTTGTATGGAAGAATAGACAACTGTTCAAAGATATTCCTCGGTTAAAATTTGTCTGGGATAAATAGACCCTAAACCTATTATCCTGCCTCTAAAATATTCCTTTCACGTTTTCTCGTAATATGATTTGTGATAAAGAACACGTGATGATAAAAACTAGTTCTATTGTCATTATTATTTCCAGTTTTTATCCACTATTGAACTTTGGGACCTGTTTAATGTCAATCAATATTTATCTAATGTTACACAATTTAATAGTTATTGAGGTACATTTATTAATAGACATGTTTCAGTTAGATATTGTTATTATACTTGATTTTTATCTTATAATATTTGAGTGTTTCTCTAAAGTGATAATTACCGTAATTGAACAATTAATATCACTAATATTATAAGTGTGAAACTTTCTTTGTTTGGATGTTTGTTCGTCAATTACACTGAAACTGAAATTTCTTATATAGGCAGGGTATGTGCTGACTGAGATGACAGGATACTTTTATTCTGATAAATGTTCCCATGAGATAAAACAGAATTGCACGCGACAAATCCGCGGGTAAAAGTTAGTGTAAATATAACTGCATGTTCTTGCACTTGAAACTACTTATGACAATAATTTGAAGATAAAAGTTTAAACAAAATAAGAAAATTATGTTACATTAGGTATATGACATGGTAAAATACAGAATGAAAATATGGCCTTAATAGATCCCTACATAACCTAAGAAACCAAGACTTTTATTTTCGGATATTTCTTAAAACTAGCGTCTGCCAGCGGCTTGGCCCGCGTTTATGTTAATTTAAGGGTTTAAGAGACAAAAAGTTTATGTTAATTCAGACCATAATCTATCCCGGTTTGAAATTTAATCCTGATACCATAAACCATTTTGGCGTGAAGGTTATCAAATTAATAAATAAGCATATACACATACATACATACATACATATATAACTTTATGCCTGTCTCCTATAGGGGTAGGCAGACACTATAGAACGCCAATTGCTACGATTCCTACAAACCTCTTTCACACATACATATTATAAACTTGTACATTTATAACGTTAGTACGACACCTACTTACTAACCGACAATGGAAAACCAGAAACCTAAAAATTAGCAAATTGCCAAATAAACATACCTATCACAAACTTTAAGCTGATAATTTGTTCCACACACTTCAAAGGCCAATGTCATGAAAAGTGCGAAATTTGTTACACGTGCTTCAAATAGAAAAATACTTTTAACAAGACGATTATAGCCGCAGTGGCTTGGAGGTTTAAACTGTTAAACACCGCGAGGACACCGGTGACCGTAACCTTCTTATTCTTCTTCGTTTATATTCTTATATATTCTTATATTCTTATATTCTTATATTCTTATATTCTTATATTCTTATATTCTTATATTCTTATATTCTTATATTCTTATATTCTTATATTCTTATATTCTTATATTCTTATATTCTTATATTCTTATATTCTTATATTCTTATATTCTTATATTCTTATATTCTTATATTCTTATATTCTTATATTCTTATATTCTTATGTGGCGACGCATGCCACATGTCAACGGATGACGTCACAAGAATCCTACATCGCACATGCAAAGTTTACAAGCGAATAAACACGGATAGAAAATCCCAACGAACAACTGTTGGGCAGAAAGCCCGCCAGGCACGATCACCTAGCCTGGTCGGAGGATCCTCCTTTTCCGATCTTAGGGAACTATACTCTCTGTTCCCTAAAGTGGTGACCCCGACGTGATTGGAAAACAACCTTCACTTCACGGAGCTGATTAGCACCGTCATCCGTATCGCCATCCCTCTCATTCATCACTTCTCCGCTGAGCGGTAACCAAGTCGCAGCCAACCAGCATCCTCGGCCTCATCAGGGACCACCATTACCTGCAACGAAGTTGTGCAGCCTGGTTCTTCCCTACGGCCTCACCAGCGTCTAGGCACAGCACTTCTGCACACGGTCTGAAGGACACCTCCTCCCGTCAACGCAGATGCCGGCCACTACGCACCTACCCTCGCAGCATCTCTTCCCCGACTCACCGTGGGACACTGCGAACGCATCTCTCCGACTCACTGGAGTTTCACCCTGCACCGCTCACCCGACTCACTGGGCACTCAGCGGCACGGTTCCGACCCACTGGAACTAGGGACGTTCTACACTGGCTCTGGCGCCACTCATCTCAAGCATCGACAGCCGTCTCAGCGGGATCGACCTCCGGTCTTGGGAGGGAGTGATGTGGCGACGCATGCCACATGTCAACGGATGACGTCACAAGAATCCTACATCGCACATGCAAAGTTTACAAGCGAATAAACACGGATAGAAAATCCCAACGAACAACTGTTGGGCAGAAAGCCCGCCAGGCACGATCACCTAGCCTGGTCGGAGGATCCTCCTTTTCCGATCTTAGGGAACTATACTCTCTGTTCCCTAAACTTATATTCTTATATTCTTATATTCTTATATTCTTATATTCTTATATTCTTATATTCTTATATTCTTATATTCTTATATTCTTATATTCTTATATTCTTATATTCTTATATTCTTATATTCTTATATAGTATTCTTCGTTCTTTAATTGTGTCTATGATGACGGTACTCAAAGGGTTAAGCCCCCCTCATGCATAAGGTTTCGAAACCTACCAACGGCAAGTACCAATGTTACTTTTTCCAAGTTATATATACTTTCTAAGATTATTTAGACACCACTGACAAACGGTGAAAAAAAACATAGTGCGGATAACCTGGGCTTATAATTTATAATTATAAGTTAATAATCACCAACGCGCATTGAGCAAGCGTGGTGATTAATACTCAAACCTTCTTCGTGTGAGAAGAGGCTTTGCTCAGCAGTGGGCGTATAGGCTGTTGATGAAAGACGAATTCATCAAAATCTGAGAATGTTGCTGTTGATGATGTTGTCAATATATTTTTGAATTGTAATTATAATGATTCAATTACAACGTCACATCTATTCAGGAGACGAGGTACAGCCCTCTTTACAGACGGAGAAGACATAAACAACAATTACCATTCTGCTAAAAACAAGTTAGCACTTTTAAACTTTTAATGCCTCACCGTTTTATGGTGATCTTATACTTATAATGTAAATCAGAAAGTGTTTGTTTATTTGAACGCCATAATCTCAGGAATTACTGGTCTGATTTCAAAATTTCTTTGTTCTATCGGATAGTACATTTATAGAGGTACAGACTATAAAACGTCATGCTACGATGAATAGGAGTTGATCAGAGCAGGTAAAACCACAACAAAGCTAGCTAGAGTCTAAATATAAATAAAAAACCAAAAGCAAATTATATCTTGAAAAAAGTGTAAATTATTAAATATTTACATAATTGGGTTGACATTATTACGAATATTATTTTTTTAAACAAATAGTATTCAGACTTTTCACATTCAATACACATGCATCGCAGAAACGGAACCAACACAGGACAGCAGCCGAGCACTCAGGTAGTGGAGAGATGCCATTAAAAATCGATTAACAATTTTTATTCTTTCTTTTGTAATAACTAGCAACAATTTCTCTGTTCTAGATAAAACTGTATCATCATTAGTAGCCTATATAAACATTACCGTAAAATCATTACCGTCTTCTGTTCCATTTCATTGCTGTACTCTCCTGTTTTTTTCTCCAGTTCTCTGCCCTTTGTATACTGTGTCGATTCATTACCTTCCAAATTCAGGTTTGACCTTCAACTGTTATTTACGTATTTATATACATTTTATTTCATCAACCTCCATTTTTGGAGAATATCATAAAACAGTCAAATCATTGGCTTTCCTCTCACTCAGTCTGTCATCTACATCTTTCTCCGAATATTCTTTTTTAAATATCCTCAGGTAAAATTTCTTTCAACTGACATACATTTTCAATGATCATAAGTAAAAACAAGCACTTCAATGTGCTTACGTACATACGTAATAAATAACAAAAACATAATTAATTTGTAATCATTACCTACAACACAAACTACATCGATTTAAATTTCAGATTTTTTAATGTCAAAATTCGTTCTGACCTCTTTTCAAATGTTTTAGCATCATCACCATTCAGGTTGGAATACACGTTTGTATGGCATAGTAACTTTGGGATTACGTACGAATTGATTGAATATACTTTGTTTTAAGTAGTATGTGTGTTAGTCGACAGTTTGCGGAGAGTAGTCTCATAATTGAAGCGTCTGGCCTGTAGACATAACGTACATATAAATAGTAATATAAAAATGGCGGGAATACTAAAAAGTATTGCCGATTATTACAATTATGTGATATACGATTTAGCTGGTGAGTATTATTATTTTAATTATGCTATGGAATAATAATTGTTATTTGTAGTTTTTCCTGTACGTGACTGTGTATTTTGTGCAGAATATTGCAAATCATTTGGTGTTTATGTAAAGAAATCTTAGTGTTTAAATGTTATTTTTTTATTTTATCGACTATTATATTGACGGTTATGATTATTGTATAATGTTAAATATCATTAATATTTTATTCATTTACATCTTTTGTGCAATATTTTTAAAGAAACTTTCGAACGTATACTTAAAGTTTCTAATCTTATTTTTGTAAAATTTATTTTTAATTTCCAATAACACAGGTATAAATGAAGTCAGCTAATATTAGACATAATTAAACAGTATAATATTTGGTGTCATACGCCTGATATTGCAACCATGGTATGGTTATATGCCGACTGAAACTTTATGGAGTTCATATTTAATAATAATATTATCAATACTGACTAAGACCAAAACCTTAATTATATAATTAATATTAATAATTCGATTTTTAATCTTTGTTTCTTACCTGACTTCCTCACTTTACAGATCCAAGAACAAAAGACTGGTGGGGTGTATCAAGTCCGTTCACAGTGATAGCCATTGCATCAGCATACCTCTACTTCTGCCTGTCTTTGGGTCCTCGGCTGATGAAAAACAGGCCAGCATTCGAACTGAAGACTCCACTTATGTTATACAACATCTTCCAAGTCCTGTTCAGTATATTCATTGCTTATGAGGTAAGATCTTGCTTTTTATATCTTTAATAATTTTGCTGCGAACAGAATGCGTTAGTCTCAGTGGTTATGAGGACCCCTGTTGCGTTTAAATTAAGGATCAAGAACCAGGATAGGCGGGTCTGCGGACCAACCAGAACCAGACCCAAACGTAAGGCGCGTCGCGTTCCGTGAGCGTGCTCAAAGAGCCATCAGACTACCACAGATGGGGCTGATGCCCGATACCGAGCCGCGGAAGGCCTATTGGTTTGCGGGGGCTCCTGCTCGAAGAGAAACGCAGTAGAAACGGGGTGGTTTTTAGGCAGTAAGAGTCTGCTACTCCCTCTCGCCTAACCCAAGGCGGGAGAAGTAATTGGATGATTTTCCACTCACAAAAAAAAATAAGACTAAGTATAGGATTAGATTTTTTCCTGTGTCTTTGGTGCATTAACGAATTTTGTCATCATACCTATATCACATACTTATGTGTTCGTGCGAAGATCGAGTCCACGACACATTGTACAGCATTCAGTTGCCCAGCCTCCGCGTCAATAGGGTAGACGACTAATTTTTATTTTAATGTCCGTCTGGTAGATTATTTAAAAACATTAGACACGTATTTTTTATTTTCTCACAGAAACGAATAGTTTCGAAGATATATTGATTTGAAATGTCGCGTGACGTCACTTCTCAGTACATTTTATACTAAGAAATGACGTTTTAGCCCCCACTCCTAAACTTTGATTCGTTTTATCTAAGTATTGTTTTATTATACGACAAAATAAAAAAATACGTGTCTAATATTTTTTCATTACCTAACTTACGGACTAACTATATTTTTAATTTTCATACCCTGTCATCATCCCCATTGTGCAGTTAGGCTTATAAGTTATAACAGAGCAGCAAAAATATGATATGTCTTCATTAACATCTTGAACGCCATGGGGGAAAAGGTATGGGCCACGATAGCGGAGGGTTTACCTTCAACAGTTTTCTGTCGGCAGTCAAACGGTTAAAAACATTTTTAAAAGCATAGGCTTTTAAAAATGTTTTTTTATTCACTTATGACTAACATAGGTTAGTCATAAGTGAATAAAAAGTTGAGTAAAAATGTACAATGATGTACTTAATTTATTTAAATGTATTTGTTATCTTTATCCACCGTGTATACACTAGCTCACATATCCATTTAAAGATTTAGTCAGTCTTAAATTTAAACTACTTTTGGCTCATAGATTCAGGTTTAGCAGTGGATATTTATTTTACCCATCAATAAAAATTACCTCGAAAAATAATTCAAGACTACTTCAATCTCAGTTTTGCAAAAATCTTATTCAATCCTGTCCTGAGATGTATTAGTTTACCGAAATTTATTAAAATTGACTCAGCACTTTACATGGTAAAATCGTAAAAAAAACAAATTACATATTCCATTACTTTTGTACGACATAGTTTTTTTAAACAAAGTCAAAGTCAATGTATGTATTACATAATCCACCGATAATATTTGATTATGTTAATTTCTTATGTTTTGTTTGAAAATTTTATGTATGAATGTGTACTTTTCTATTTTTAATGTAGGTTTGTTAGGCTATGGCCACACTACGGTATCTTTTCCGCGATTGGTTAACCGCTCTAACCGTGAGAACGCTGACATATAGACACGGTTTTAAACCGCAAAATCAAATGCGATATTTTTAACTTAAAGTCCTTCCACTAAGTTGCCTAGAAACTACAAATTTGGTAGTTTTATCCACAACCATTTTGTTATAAGATTTTAAAGTCAACCGCGGGAAAGAACCGCTAGTGCCATCTGCGTTTGTGTTTATTTACATCTTTTACAGATCTTTGTGGTTAAAAACCGGTGCGGTTTAATTGTAATGCGCCCTGAGCCTTAAGCAATTATTTTTCTATTTGAATGTTATCCTATAAATATTTGTAATAGATTGTAGATCAAACAGTGATTGAGAAGAAACACGTTTACCGTCCACGTGTTTCATAACATAAGGAATTTCATCCGTGTCAGTGAGATTTTAACAAAAACACGTACGGACGTACAGAGGAATTTATTTAGCGTATCTAGTTTAATTTAATCGATAAGGAATTGGAGTTTGATAATGATTTATTTAGATCACACGTTTTGTTTCGCAAACACAATGCAAGGAAATGTTTTTTTTTTTATTTTTAACCTTTATTCGTCATAATATTATTGCTAAAATAGACACCAAAATCAGGAAATAATAATTTATTATGAAGTATTTTTACATTCAATTGACTTGTGGAATATTTTAGAACTTTGTACTTTAAACTTGATTTAACAAACAACTAAAAATGTTTATTTAACATTATAAAGTTTTCATTATACAATGTTAACATTGATTTACATTAACATACTTATACATACTTATGTTAAAAATTTTCAATCAAGATATTGCACATTTGAAAACAATCTGATTGAATTGTTAAATAATAATCAGTTAGATAGTAAGTTATCTAATACCTTTAAACGAGCAATTCTTATACATAAACGTATGTATGTATCAACGACCTCGAAAACGGCCCATACGTTTTGCTTTAAATTTTGTATGTATGGGGTTTCGGGGGCGATAAATTTATCTAGCTAGGTTCCATTATCAGAAAATATCGTTTACTAAAAAAAACACCGAGCACAACTCGCTCATCCAGGTACGAATAATAAAATATAGCAATCTTTGAGACTAGTCTTCTACCAGAGGCTTCGCTGACTTGCAATTTAGAAGTTTTTTCTAATGTGACCTCCGATCCCGTAACAATGATGATAGAAATATAACCTACGTTACTCCCTAAAAAGTAAACGTTATTCTAAGGGATAGATCATGCGGAAGCTGGTCTTTTAATCATAACTCTCCTTCTTGCTTTACTGTAGTCGGGCAAAAAATGGATCGCCAAATGTGTTGCTGAGCGCAGAACTCTAAACAGCTGTAGTATTTCATTGTTCCTGCGTGGCGACTGGTGGTGGCCCGGAGGTTTAAAACGCCCGCTTCTCATGCATGAGTGTGCGGGTTCGAAACCTACCATCGGCGAGTATCAATGTGACTTTTTCTGAGTTATATGTACTTTCTAAGATTATTTAGACACCACTGACAAACGGTGAAGGAAAAACATCGTGAGGAAACCTGGACTTATAATTTCTAATTATAAGTTTGTAATCGCCAACCCGCATTGAGCAACCGTGGTGATTAACGTAAACGTAAACTTAAACCGTCTCTGTGTATTGTTATAGGCTGTTGATGATGATTGTTCCTGCGTTTAGCAGTTGCCTGCGACTTCGTACGTGCAATCCTGTTTATTTTCGTTATAGTTTTCGGCAGCTTCTTGGATGAAACGATCCTATATCAGTATCCTGGTTCTAAACTACCTCTGCACCGATTTTCAGAAAAGAAATCAAGAGACATTCCCGGAAATTTAGTTATATGTAAAATAATTATTGTCCTTGAGTAACATTTGATTGTGTTATAAAATAACTGGTGATTTACATATTTTAATGCTTGTACTTGTATTTATACAAAGTGACGCCGACTTTGTACTGATTGACTTTGTGATCTTTTTTATATTTTTGTCGCAAGTGCGACTGCCGGGCAAGAGGTCTTGGGTTCCATTCCCGGGTCGGGCAAAGTATTATTGGGTTTTTAGAAAATAATCTCAATAGTAGCATGGTGTCAAGAATCGTGCCCGGTAAATGGGAATAGGCTCATCCCCTATTACCTGGGCCTCACAACATAAATAGGTAGTGAAAAATAGGTGCTACATTGTACAGTAGCATTAATTGAAGTAGTTGGCAGAGGTGCACATACCTCTGCCAACCCCTTCGGGGATAAAAGGCCTGAAGTTATGTGTGTTTGTAATAATATGATGTTGTCTTGGAATGGTTGTACGTAGCAAGTGATTCGTTACTTTTGTCTTTCAATTTTTTAGGTTTTTGACCGTCTAATTGAGGTCAATAAGTAACGATACGTTATAATTAAGAATGGACATGGTCACGATAGAACAAACGATGTTAAATTATAAATATTAGCTGCAATATTGTCTTTGATAATGATATATTGTGTGTCATATTTTATAGAACATTTTACATGACATGACATCTTTTGTTGTGTTTTCGGTTGCATTTAGTTTATTGTTTTATGCATACATTGTTTTTTAAGATGGCTTTTATATTATTTTTATTTAAACATAAATATTTAACTGTGTGACTGCGTCGTTGACCGAGTGGTCGCAAGTGCGACTGCCAGGCAAGGGGTCTCGGGTTCGATCCCCGGGTCGTGCAAAGTATTATTGGGTTTTTAAAAAAATTCAGTAGAAGCACGGAGTCTGGAAATGGCAATAGGCTTACCCCCTATTATATGTAACTCATAACATAAATAGTGAAAAGTGGGTGTCACTCTGTGTGCACCTCTGCCTTCGGGGATGTTATGTTATAAATATTCAAATGAATAATTGTCTTTTTCAGGGTGGTGTCTACGTATTATCCAGAGAATTCAATCTAGCATGTGATACAGTTGACTACTCAGATAGCCCTCGAGCACTTCGGGTGAGTTTATATTTTATTATGCAAAATAAAAAATTAATTAAGATTCACGTACATTATTGTGCAAAATTTTCGATTATAAATAGAATGAAACCACTAGAAGTGAAGGCTACTATATGCAAGCATGCAAATATATCACTTAAAATATTTATTTGTATCTAGTTATAGACAACCTTTAAATTACATATTTTATGTTCTTTGATAACATAAATAAAAACCAACCAGAAGAAGTCTAAATATCACGAGAATTTTCTAAATCCCACCTCAAAGGACACATAAATTATAATAAGAAGGAAATAAAAGAACTATTAGATAATAATATTGTTAAGCGACCAATAATATAACACGCAGTACATTGACATATATTTACATACAATTATACGTTAATTTAAATATATCACGTAAAACAATAGTTATTATAATACATAACAAAAAAATCGTAAGAACAGGAACATATTATATAAAGGTGCTGAAATATGTCAGTCCGTAACCTGAAATATAGCTATCAAAATTGAAACTGTAAATAGATTTCATGGTCAAGTATTTCGTTCTGTTATTTTGGTCTGTAACCTTGATAACGTATTCTTTCATGTTTTACAGTTTCAGTACGTGGTTTTATCATTCGATGATACGCAGACACTAAAAATATTTCGCTGATGATATTATAGTGGTAGGTTTATTTATGTGATAAGCCGATAAACGAGCAGACGGATCACCTGATGGTCAGGATGATCAGCAATCGGCATCGCCAATGGACACCTGGAACGTCAGGGGCGTCACAACTTGTAACGCCCCTGGCGTTTCGCACTTGCGTTACAGGCCTTCTGGCAATTGGGAATTTGAGGATTATAGGGGATTCGGGGATTGGAAAGGCTTTGGTTAACCTCCGGTGACCTCACTCACACGACGAAAGACAACGGAAGCGTTTTTTCACGTCGGTTTTCTGTGAGGCCGTGGTATCACTCCGGTCGAGCCGGCCCATGCATGCCGAAGCATGGCTCTCTCACGCTTAAATGTATTAGTTATTCGCTATAAGTCAAAATACTTCAAATTTCATACAAAACAAAACGTTATTGATAGAGATGTAAATTGCAACAGCTGTATAATAATTACCATGTATTTATTTACGGATACTCTAAAATTATATTATTACAATTAGAAAAAAAGAAAACAATATTTTTAAATAGGACCCGACCAGTAGGAGCAATTGTCCAAGCTACCGGTGGTTAGTGCTCCAGAGACATAAACCTCCTCACGATACGTGCTGTTTCTAAGAGAACTGTCTTCTGTATCAGGCCCTGGATCCATTTACCTAACGCCAGCCTCCTGAGATGGATGGATGGATGGATGTCGAGGCTTTTAGGGATTAACCTATCGGCACAATTATAGCCGAATCCACACTCTACATGTCGACCACCTAATTATAATTATTATTATCAATCTAGGTAACTTATTACTATAAGCCCACTATCCATTGTGACTCAATGAATTCACATAGTTCAGAATCCGTTTCTATACATAATGGTAATTTCCTCCTTCGTGGTTGAAACGAATTTACAATTGGACTGCTACTTTACCTACGGTTTTTCAATTCCAGGTAGCCGCAGCAACATGGTTCTACTTCTTCGCAAAGTTCACGGAGCTCCTAGACACAGTATTCTTCATCTTACGGAAGAAATACGACCAAGTCACCTTCCTCCATGTATACCATCACACCTTGATGTCTTTGGCTGTCTGGATTGCCGTTAAATATTATCCAGGTACGATTGTGATATAAGATAATTATTTTCTCAGGACATTTATTGACTATAACGGTTCGTCCCTGGTTGTCTCAGTCATTTGTTTCGATATCATAGCATACCTACCATGAAATGGGTTGCTTTCTCTAATTATTCCGACCGATTTTCCGAAATTATCTTAATGAGGACCTACATTCTGATGTGGTGACCTAACCATTATTTATTTAATTGTAAAACTAAGGTTAGGATGCTTTATACATAATATCAAATAAAATGTATTGTTCATTTATTTCTTCTTTCCAGGTGGCCACACCACTTTGATGGGTTTTCTGAACTCCGTCGTCCATGTAGTCATGTATACTTACTACTTAATAGCCGGACTCGGACCTCAGTATCAGAAGTACGTGTGGTGGAAGAAGCATGTCACTAAAATGCAATTGGTGAGTTTAATCACAATTATTTATTTGTTTATCAAAACGAAACCAAAAGAATGCATTTGAGAACTTGAATTTTAAACTTTTTTTAGTATCAGTCCTTTGAGAATTACATATATTTCCAAAGGTTTCTATACTTAGACTATAAATTAGAGTAGGTTGAGAGGGACACAGTTGATGCAACTGTGTATAAAAATCATACTATCTATCTATAACTTAGGAACATTAAATAAATGTGTTCACTCATACTTTGATAAACAATCATAGACACTGAAGATGATGATATAATTATAAATTTGGTCCTAAAACTGTTATTACTTTTCCTTACAGACACAATTCTCGATCGTCTTCATTCACAATGTATCAGTATTCTTCTACGAGTGCAATTTCCCAAAATTCTTGAACCTTATGTGCATTGGCAACTGTGTTGCTTTCCTATACATGTTCGGGAAGTTCTACGTCGACAGATATAGAAGAAATGTTAGGAACAAATCATTGCTGGAGAGCAAAAAACCTAAAACACCCGCTAAGAGCGAATTAAACAACTTTGGAATACAAAGAAAAGTTGCTGAGAAGACACGGTAATATAAATCTACTTGCGTTAATAATAAGGATGAAAATGTAAAATATTTATTACGAATAAATTGTACAGGTAATAAAAGACAATAAATGTAAGGGATGTATTTATTAATATTAAGGATATTTATGTAATTGTAGTATTTAATAATGATGATGTTTACGTCGATTTTATACTTAAAATGTGTACTGTATTTTTACGAAACGAAACGGCAGGTACTAAGAAACCAAAGAAAATATTAAAAATGTATGGAATTTTGCAATGCTTTTTATTTGATGATTTTGACTATAAAGCCCATTTTGACCGTATGAAAACATTTAACACCGGGTTCCTAAGAAATTGTTATCAACAGCCCATCATTTTCTACTGTTGGACTATGATGGGTTTTCTCTGAGTTTACCATAGCACACCATAGACTAAGTTGGTTTAACCCTCCTTTTTTAATCTTTAGTCAAATGTAAAAAAACTCTAAACAAAATTCCACTGCTTCTGATATAACAAACAAACTACTATTTGTTACATAACTAGCTGTTGCCCGCGATTTCTTCCGCGTAGCGTATGAATTTTAGAATATAACTATTTGTTTTAATTTTCCAAAACAAAAGCCTATGTAAATAGCCTATGTTACTCCTTACTAAATATCATCTTATTCATCTGTAAAGATGCCTAGATTATTTAATTTATTTTACAATCGCTTCGATTCGAGATGAACAGCTATTAAGACTAATATAAATTTTCAGAAAAAGCATCGTCCCTTTTTATTACATGCCATTTATAATCTATGAGTGGGAGGAGGTGGGAGCCTAGAGATCCGTCACACAGGGAATCCTAGCATAGTTTCCGATCTCTAACAAAAGAGTATACCTAATCTTTGCATCTGATGTAGTATAGGTTGCTTATGGGACGACGTAATCCATCGTAGACCGCATCATCGCTTACCACTAAGCGAGATAGTAGTTAAACGTCGGCCCATCAAATATAACAAAATCTGATTATTGTATCTTTTATTCTGTGGAATGATCCTTTCTGTAGAGAGAAAATAAATAAATATATTATTATTATGTATGTTTCTACCACCGGTCATGTGGAAGGTGTTCTAAGGGCCGAAGTCAACTGCACAGAGGACTTTAGATAGCAACTTTCATCTAAATGCAATGGGACACAAACCGGCAACTATACCTGTATGCACTATGGAAATGCACCCAATGACAGTCCGCGGCTAGTGTAAAACTATTGTAGATAATGGAAAAAAATAAGTTAGGGCTATGGATAGGTTGCCATGGAGTGGTAAATTGAGAACTATGGATAACTATGGCATCTGCCGAAACAATGTAATTATTACACGTAATAATGGCAGATAGAGACTCGCCAGCTCAATAACCGGGCCCCCAGAAATGGTTGCTAGATATAGCTACAAAAGGACAACGGAAATTTGAATGGTTGAAGGGTGAAGAAATTAACACCGCTTTCTACTCAGATCACCTGTTACTGCCGCAGGATCCTACATCACTGGCCCACTCGCGACTTATAAATAGTTTTCGACCCTCTGAGCAAGATCACTGCTCTCGCGACTCCGCTCTGGACGGCCAATGAAGGCAAGCCAGAGGTGGGAGACCTGAAGGTCGACTCTGATTTGATGAAAAATTTATTTTCGTCCGAAACTCCGAAGATTTCCTACCACAATGATATTTATGACGGGCGAAAAAGTAATTAAACAAGTCAGAAATTAGTATGAGATGTACTGCTTGACGTTTTAATTATCGGAACCCTACTCTGATTTTTACAATTCGCACGAACGAAATTATCCAAGTTTGACAGATTATTCTTCGTACGTTTAATGTCATTTCGAGGAAACCAAAATTGTTAACGTTTGATTTTCGTTTTGGTTATTCATTATTGAAAAATGAATAAAAGTAATTACAAGTCTTTGTTTTATCACGGTTGCTTCGTGTGAACTACACGTAGGGCATCAAAGGAACCACCGAGGTGACGATATAAAATCAATGTACAGTCAGTTCAAATGAGGGTGTTTCAAATCCCTTAGTGATTCTGTCCGCAGCTTTCAGCAGCTTACCTCTACTTCTGTCTGACAACTGTTAACAAGGACCTATATATTTTATATGTCTACGTTAGTAACATTTAGGGGTATCTTAATACTTATTTGAATACATTAAATGTATTATGTGTAATATTTTATTTCAAAACGAATGATTTAAAATACCGCTAGAAAAATAAACTTAAGTATGGCTAGTATATAGATCATTTCGCTATTCTTTCACATCTATTATTATAAAAACATTCATAGATAAGATAAATGCTTTCAAAACTATATTGTTAATCATCATAACACAAAATAATTTAATATATTCAAATTCTCATATATAAAAATTTATAATTTTTACGTACGTACTGCACGTACCAATATAATACGAATAAATTTGGTTGCCATTATTCTATAAATAAATGTCAACGAGTGCCACTGCCAATATTCTAAAAGTTTTTAACTTAGTTGTATAATTAAGTTGCAACCTCATTCCTCGTCATCGTTCACTCCAGCCAGCCAATTAAGGCAAGCCGGAGAATAAGGAATAGTGACTTCTCCCTGGAGCATTCGGGACGATGATTACCCGCTGGTTGCTAATGCTCATCACCTCGCCGTCACCTCACCATGCCCTGGGGGCTTATTAATATTATTATTTATAAATTATTAACTTAATATGGCTATAGGCTCACCCCCTATTACATGGGACTCATAACATAAATAGTGAAAAGTGGGTGTTACATTGTACAGTGGCATAACCCCTTCAGGGATAAAAGGCGTGATTGTATGTATGTTTCAACTTAAACTGTCAAACACCAAGCGGTCACCGGTGACCGCGACCTATTGTTCTTTAATTGTGTCTATAAAACCGGTACTCGACGAGTTAATACCGAAATAGCGAAAAATTTCAATTTGAATCAGTTCATATATATGTGTACCTCTGTTATGCTAAAAATAATATGAAGCAAAATATCTACCTACCTTTTTTTTAAGGGGGGAATATCATCGAATGACTGCTCCCGTCTGGGTGAGGCGGGAGGGAGTATCAGACTCTTACTGACTAAAAACCACCCCGTTCCTTCTCCTATACGTCGAGCCGGAGCCCCGGTTGCCCGTTAGGTTCTCCGCGACTCCGAATCGGCATCGGCCCTATTGAGCCCCATCTGTGGTGGTCTGATGGCTCTTTAAGGCGCGCGCCTTCCTTCTATCTACATACCTTACCTTGGACAAAAGTTTATAATTTTTCTGTTTTAGACTTTTTTACATATTACGTAAAAAGTACCTACTGTTTGAAATTTAAGTTTTCAGCGATGCATTGTTAGAGGTCATTTAAAAATAAAAGTCCAAATTGACATTTTTAATTTAGATTGTAACGGTGATATAAGTAACAGACAATCACATAGGTACTTACAGTATTAATTTATACGGAAATGTTAATAGTCACAGTTACGTATGAAGAATTTGATTTAAATTGTATTTTTTTCATTGATATTTACCCATTATGTGAGTTGGCAGTTTGAATAGTACGTATCGTAGAAGTAAGTCGACTGGTATTGGACGGTGTCTCCGCAATTTGTCAAAATGGCGGGACTAATAAATAGTGTCGTTGAAAAATATAACTATGTTATGTACGACTTCGCTGGTGAGCTTTTAATATTTTTTAATTAATAGAAACTGTATGATTTATGTGATCAACATATATAATATGCAAAAAATAGGTTAAGAAAATATGTCATCATCATCATCATCATCATCAACAGCCTATAAATGCCCACTGCTGAGCCAAGCCTCTTCCCACCCGGAGAAGGTTTGAGCATTAATCAGAAAATATGTATCTGATAATATTTATTAATACCGTTTGATCATAACTCTGTATACCTAGCTATAAGTGAGTCTTTATGAGTGAATAAAAAATCATTAAACTTAAAATACAAACTTAAAAATATGCATGTTTCAGATCCTAGAACGGCGGACTGGTGGGGTGTTTCAAATCCCCTAGTGATCTTGTCCATTTCAGCAGCTTACCTCTACTTCTGTCTGTCTCTGGGTCCTCGGTTGATGAAGAACAGGCCAGGGTTCGAACTGAGGATTCCGATTATGCTCTATAACATCTTCCAAGTGCTATTCAGTTTATTCCTGAGTTATGAGGTAAGTCTACTGCTATTGATGAATTTTTTTATTGTTATCTAGCTGTTGTCCGTGACTTTGTCACATAGAATATGGTTCCTGTTTTATTCTATGGGAGCATTTAATCGGGATAAAAGTATCGTATCACCTAAGTCAGCACATACCCTGCCTGTAAACCAAATTTCGTCAAAGTACATTCAGTACCTTCAATTTGATTGTATACCAATGTCATAAAAATCCGTTCAGCAGCTTTAGCGTGATTGACGGACAAACATTGAAACATCCAAACCAAAAAGATTTATAATATAAGTGTGATTTCTCTGTAACAATAAATTATCGTGCCCTGCCCTTCTAGTATCTAAAATAACTAGTTATACAATATTACTGATCTCCTGCTCCTTACTGTCAACATCGAATTGATTTTCATCCCCTAAGCTGTATGCAAAATTCTACAGCATCTTATCTCATAAAGAGTTTGAAAAATCTACTGAAACTGTCAAACACCGCGAGGACACCGGTGACCGCAACCTATTGTTCTTTGATTGTGTCTATAATGACGGTACTCAAAGGGTCGATTTAGGTTAATGTACTTTCTCCATGAGATATATGTCATAGCTACTCAAAACTTACCAACTGTGAAAAAACGACACAATATGTTGCGCTAAACTCGTGGAATCAAATGTATTTACAAATAACAATGAACCTGACCTGACATACGTATTTAAATTAACTACAATTAATTTATGATAACAAAGAAAAACAATTAACACAACAGTTAATATAACACTAATATACTTGTTATATTTTATGTAATAGCTAGTTGTTGCCTGCGCCGTGACTTTGATCGCGTAAATGTGAATTCTAGGACATATTTTTTTGTTTCAAATTTCCAAAATGAAAGCAGCGTATGTTACTCCTTAGTACATCAGATACCTGCCAATAAAAGTAATGTCAAAATCGGTCCGGCCATTACAGAGATAAGCCAGTACAAACAGACAGACAGGCAAACAGGCAGACAGAAAGACAAATATGGTAATTAATGTTATTTTGATATGTGTATTAATATATGCATGTGGCAAAAAAGGGTTGTTTTAATATTACAAACAAACACTAAACATTTTTTTTATCTATATAGATGTATAGATAGGAGGTATTCTATCCCTAGTTCCATCCTAAATTATCGTGGTGACCCGAAGGTTTAAGACTGCTTCTCATCCATATAGGTTCGGGTTCGAAACCTACCAACGACAAGTCCACCTACCAGTTTTCCTAGCAGAAATAAAAATTCTAAGAAGAATGTGTGCCGTGGCAAGTAAGGGTAAAATACGATATCAGTTAGTGTAAGTTACGTTGACTGCACGTATGATGTGGTGGCTGGACAACAGGCAACGCAACTGTGCTCCCCGCACAGAGCAGCTCTTTGTGTGATCCACAAATTTTTGTTTAAAAAAGTATGAAAACGTAAACCCAAAGTAGTGAAGGTTATAAAAATGTTGAAAATTAAATGTCTCTCTTGGTGTGAGTGCGATACGCATCGCACGCCGGCGGAGGCACGGTGAAGATACTAAGAATAAATCAATTTAAACTAAACCTTAGCCACTTTGGCATACGGATAAAAAAAGCATGCCAAAGATGCTTCTATGGCATACATAACCGGCCGGGATATTATAACAAATATTTAATAGAAAACAACAGAAAAAATCAATTGTAATATTGTATCGTAAATGCATTCTTAATAACTAGGTCAAAATTCATGGATTTAACTGTGAATCAATCAACCCAAAAATGTATACAAAAATTTTTTGTCTGTCTGTCTGTATGTCCACGCATCACGCAAAAACTACTAGTCCGATTACGATGAAACTTAAGCTCGATCCTAGACACATTTACTGTACCTATGCAAATACGTATGTTTAGTTTGTCGAATGTTAAGTGGATCGCAGTGGACTTTACGCTGTAATTGTAGGGTCGATGGTTGACATTAGCATGAACCGATATTATAAATGCGAAAATATTTGAGTTTGAATAAGATACTACATAATAACTCGTTGCCCGATTGCGTAGACGTAAACCTAGACTGCCTCGTTGGCCGGTATATGGCAATGGACTCACCCCCAATTACATGGAACTCATATTGTACCAACAGTGGCATTAAGTGCCGTAATGTGCACCTCTGCCTACCCCTTCGGGGATAATTATTTATACTATTATTATTACTTAAATAACAGCAGATTATATTTAATATTTTTCAGGGTGCTGCCTACATACTTAATAAGGAATATAATCTAGCTTGTGAACCAGTCGACTACTCCTACAATCCCAGAGCCTTAAGGGTACGTATTTAAAGTTCATTAGTTTGTTCATTAGGTCACCGTCTCATGGCCTGACGATGGCAAAAAAGCACACGGCCAACCTGATGGTAAGCGCTTATCGAGGCCTATGTACACTTGCAACACTTGGAGTATTCCATGCGCCTTGCCGACTGTTGAAAAACCTATTTATTCCCTTCTTAAAAACTGTTGTAGTCCAATCTACTTAAAAAAGTGCATTTTTGGGGAATAATTATAATAAATGCTTAGAGTGTGTGCTTTTTTCATAGGTACCTCGCATAACAAAACTGTGGAATGATTTGTCGTTGGCGGTATTTCCGAACCGATACAATATTCATTCGATAGGTGTTTTTACCCAGTTCTCATATACCCAAACCCCGAAATGTTTGAAAGAGAAGGAGGAAAATCGTCACATGACTTCACACTGACTAGTGAAAGGTCATATCAGACTCTTATGTCCAAATACTCTAATGGCACTCAATTTTAAGTGGCGTTTACGTAATGCATTCTCAATACAAAGTTATTGTAAAATAACAGAGATAGTACAATATTTAAGTACAACTTAAACTTGTATAGCCTTTTAATATTCGGGCGTTACTGACTAAAACCCACCCAACTCCTGCTTTGAGCCGATTGTGTATTAACTTTAGATATTCGTCGATATTTCCAGGTGGCAGCAGCAACGTGGTTCTATTTCTTTGCGAAGATCACAGAGCTTCTCGATACAGTCTTCTTCGTTTTAAGGAAGAAATATAATCAAGTATCATTCCTCCACGTATACCACCATACATTGATGTCTCTTGTCATATGGGTCGGAGTGAAGTATGTCCCAGGTTTGTACAAAATATTCTATATTTTCATTTTTATCTTCCCAACTTCTTTAGCCAATGATTGCGTTTGTAGTGATACAGACGCGATACGCATGCAAGTCATACGCAGCCTGCACACACTTTGTGTAGCGATACAGACGCGATGCAAACGCGCTTGTGTAGCGCGGCATATGTCCACAGCGACGTTGATGTTGCCAGACATGTCTACCAAAATCTGGCAACGTCGTGCTACTTCACTCAAGGTCGCTGGTGACACGTATTGCAGGACTGCATTTATTCCTTATTGTATCCTTGGCTTAAATCACACGACTGTAATAGGGTAGATGCCTAATTTTTATTTTAATGTCCGTCTGGTAGATTATTTTAAATCATTAGACACGTATTTTTATTTTCTTAAAGAAACGAATACTTTCAACGATATATTGATTTGAAAAGTCACGTGACGTCACTTCTATGTACATTTTATACGTAGAAATATCGTTTTTGCCCCCACTCCTAAACTTTGATTCGTTTTATTATACGGCAAAATAAAATAAAATAACTTTTTACTTACGGATTAAATACCTATATTTTAAATTTTCATACCGTCATTATCCCAATTAAAATATGTGAATAACGTAAAATTGACGTCCATAATAATATAATTATTACTAAACATATAATTATATAATTTCTTTCTAGTATTTCTGAAAACCTATCTTTTTTTTTTAATTTCACACATTAATATCTCGTGGATCGCACATTGATGTTTCCTAAAATACTGTAATGTATGTAGATACTTAAGTAATGTAAAAAATCTAAAGTTTTGTAGTAAGTATTTTCTCGCCACAACGTTGATCTATGTTTTTGGGCTCGGTCGAAACACTTAATTACGTAATGCTACTACTAGTTAATACAACGTTCGACTTTTGAATACAAAACAAAAAAAAACTAAATGTCAAATTAATTGTAAAATGAAAATTAACCCAGCTGTTTATTTGCAGGAGGTCACATTGTTCTAATGGGTTGGTTGAACTCCATGGTCCACGTCATCATGTACACTTACTACCTGATCTCAAGTCTTGGACCCCAGTACCAGAAGTACGTGTGGTGGAAGAAACATGTCACTACTATTCAGCTGGTGAGTTGATGAAAGTCCCTGACTATCCTGACCTTTAATCACCGTGGTATCACCTAAAACATAAAATTGTATTTTAACACAAATTGTCATTGTCCAACCCAAAGTTAATTTCACAGTAGGACATTATGAAAGTTAAAATGTGTCTCAAGTAATCGGATTAAGTTATTTATTTGGATTAGATTTGGGAGTATATTATGAAATTGTCTGAATAAACATAATAAGTGCTTATAATTTGTGGGCTGCCCTCGATTTCTCTGGGATCTCATCATCAGGTGATCATCAGGTGGGAACAGTACCAACTTAAAAGTATACCGTAACGAACGAAAAGAACCACGTAATTCGGATCAGTAATGTTTAAGTAATCGATGTACTTATAATGCTCATGAAATACATAAAAACTACTGAACCAATCTGAAACAATTTTTGTGAGACCAAATTTCAGCTATTCCGTGTCGAACAAAAAAAAATCATTCAAACGGTTCATAAACTACGACGTAATTGGTGTACATACATATAAAAAAAACTACAAAAACATACTGGTCGAATTAAGAACCTCCTCTTTTTGGGAAGTTCGTTAAAAATTTAGTAAATATTAAAGCTTTTTAAATACATAACTAGCTCTAGTAAGTGAGTTTATCACATGAGAGTACTTCTATAAGTTAATTGATGAGAATAAGAAACTTAATTATTCTACCTACAGGTATAATATGTATGTGTGTATTATGAATGTTATTTAAATTTGTGTTCTGGCTTCGCATATCAACCGATTCATTTCTCTGCACTTCCCTATGATTGAGTGTCAGAGAATAACTTACTGCATTAAGTCTGCCATTCACTGTCATTTTGTACGAAGAAGATATAAAGAAATAGAATGAACTTATCACATGTCTATATTCCAAACACAGAGAAATCATAATATGTGCAAAGATGACTCTTTACTACAATTATTTTGTTCTTTTCCAGGTCCAATTCTGCATAATCTTTACACACAACATCGCAGTTTTCTTCTACGACTGCAATTATCCGAGAATACTGAACGGCATATGTGCACTGAACTCTATGATTTTCATATATTTGTTCGGAAAATTCTACATAAGAAGTTATCAGAAGGAAAATGCGAAAAATAAATCAAAATTGGAAAACAAGAAGAGTGCACCTATATCAAGCGAATTTGGAAATAAACGAAAATTAGTGGAAAAATCTCGATAACACAAAGATTCAATGACATAATACCTATGTTATATAGTCGCATGTGATAAATTTAAAATTAAAACTAGAAGGTTTTTGGTTAACCGATAAATAAAATAAAATAAAAAATAGTACTCATAGGTGCCAGCACAATAATGCTTGTCTTTATTTATTTTTTTGTCAAGTGTCTTTCCATCAAAGATATTCTACCTTACTGTTTTGTGATTAAGTAGAAAATTAATTGACACCGAACCTAGCCGTTTATCAGTAGTTTCTAAAGATAATCTTAGAAAGTACATATAACTCGGAAAAAGTCACATGGTCATGGTTCTTCCCGTTGGTAGGTTTCGAACCCGAACTCTTATGCATGAGAAGCGAGCGTCATTAACCTCCGCGCCACCAAGACCAATACCCATTGAATGACTCTGAATACGGCGGTTAATCTCCTGTATAAACCAACTTGTGTACTTACACCTTTAGTTCAAAATTAAAATAACTTTTATGTGTTGTGTGTGTTTTATCAAATATCGTAACATAACATTACGCCTTTTTATCCCCAAAGGGGTAGGCAGAGGTGCACATTTCAGAACTTAATGCCACTGTACAATGTAACACCCACTTTTCACTATTTATGTTATGAGTCCCATGTAATAGGGGATGAGCCTATTGCTATATACTGGGCACATTTTCAGACTCCGTGCTACTACTGAGATTTTTAAAAACCGAGTAATACATTGCCCGACCCGGGAATCGAACCCGAGACACTCGCACTTGCGACCACTCGGCTAACAAGGCAGTCAATCCTCCGATAATTCCGGATCCGATAGTCAAATATCCTACACTAATTATTACTTAAAGTCCAAAAATATTTAAAACTAGTTTTTACCCGCGGCTTCGCTCGTGTACCTACCTAACAAAAGGTTAAAAAACAAAAAAATTGCAAATCGCTTCACGCATCTCAGAGTTATGCGCGTACATACATACAAAAAAAAATTAAAAAAAAAGCAACATACCGGCCGAACGTATAACCTCCTCCTTTTTTGAAGTCGGTCAAAAAGTAGCCTATGTGACATATACCAATACACACAGCGCCATCTATACCAATAATTTCGTTTTCCCTCGAGAATATCAAATGGATATAAAGGGATAAAAAGTATCCTATTATTTAATCCAGACTTCTAACTTCAAGTCTGCAAAAATTCAAAGCAATCGGTTTAGTAGTTACGCCGTGAAAGTGGAACAAACAAACAAACAAACTCACTTTCCGATTTATAATATTAGTAAAGATAAAATTCCGTATTAGGAAACGCTTTGCAGCATAAACTAGATCTTCTATATCAACACACAATATAGTGATACCAGTAGATATTAATAATAAAAAGTATAATCGTTCCTTTCCAAGCAATCGCTTAACTTGGCATTAAATATCAATATTTTTAGCTCACTAAGCAAATAAGTCACATCTCATTGCAAGCAGTCCACGTGACCGACTGTTTGTTTACATTCGTACGTGTTTTGTTTGAATTTGCTCATTTTCTAGAATTCATTCATAATCTACATGACTTAAAATCACGCCAGTTACGCAGTGGTAGTGTTAATATCTTATCATACACTCTAAAGCGGATAAATAGGTACTAATTTTTAACACAGACTTCTAGTAAGTAGTTCTGAATCCCAAGTAATAGGGAGTGAGCTCATTGTCGTACACTAGAATTAAATGCTAATACTGAGAATTTTGCACAGGGTCACATAAATCCCTTATTTGGTAGCCAAATTACTTAGTTGATCACTTGATCAACACGAGACAACCAAAGAGTCAATATGTAAAATACCTTAAAGTCTTCAAGGCCCGAATGAATAGGTTGCTTATGGGACGAAGTGCTTCATCGTAGACCGCATCATCAGTTACTACCAACCATTTTTTTTAAGGGGGGAAAATCATCGAATGACTGCTCCCACCTGGGTGAGGCGGAAGGAAGTGTCAGACTCTTACTGACTAAAAACCACCCCGTTCCTTCTCCTGCACGTTGAGCCGGAGCCCCGGTTACCCGTTAGGTTCTCCGCGACTCCGAATCGGCATCGGCCCTATTGGGCCCCATCTGTGGTGGTCTGATGGCTCTTCGAGGCGCGCGCGGAACGCGACGCGCCGTACGCTCGGGTCTGTTTCTGGTCGGACGGGGAGCCACCCATGCTCGCCGTCCGCAGTCCCGCGTTTACGGTGGCCGGAGATCGTTACTACCAACCATAATGGTCAAACGTCGGCCTATCAAATATACCTAAAAAAAAACCACAATACATTTATCTTAACGTAAGTACCCATTTTTCGTCAGAATTATTATGTGTTATGTTCTGCAATAGGTCTTACTCATAATTTCAAGATCCGTAATATTACTGACAGTTTCGAAATTGAATAAAAACCCAAAAACACTTTATCCAAACCGGACATCCTAACAAAGACTTTAACCTTATTTATAATTTTGTGGCTTAAACTGTGATGACTCAAGCTAGCATCAATAGGAAAGATTCCCATGACGCATTCAATTGCTTGATTTTCACCCTAAAAGTAACATCGTTTTGTGAATTACAAATGTTAATACTAAACTTATGTATAGAGGTACAAAACACATAAAGACATCTGTCTACAACAGATGTTTGATAAAATCCAAGATGAACTAAACAAAAAACTAAACATTAATGATTAATTCTTCTGGTGTTACTGAGAATTTTGATATGGATATTTTTTTCAATATTTCCCTAAAATTGTAGATGAAACTTATAACTTATAACTTTATGCCAGTACCTTGTCGCGGAGAACCTGACGGGTTACCAGGGCTTCGGCTCGAAGTGCAGGAGAAGGAACGGAGTGGTTTTTAGTCAGTAAGAGTCTGACACTCCCTCTGGCCTCACCCAGGCTGGAGCAGTCATTCGATGATTTTCCCCCAAAAAATGCTAGTACCTTCTTATATGGAAGATTTGGATTTTTGCTGATTTTTGGACAGAACTTGTCGCCTTAGTCGCCGTCGTCTTTAATGGTACACAAGTCGTTGTTACGAATCTGAATATGATGTGTGTGTGTGTTTATAGTGTAGCTGTTTATAATTGTGAAAATTCATAAGTGTGATTTTATAATTTGACTTACTATTAATAACAAACAAACGTTTGTAAATGCGCCTTCTATATAGATTACAATCCTAGTGTGTGGTTTTGTTTTCACATAACATTGTATTGCTATTAAACTATTAAAGGCGCTGTCAAAGGAAAACATATCGTTACAAGTTTTCATTGTTAACTTAAATGTAAATCTAAATGTCAGTGTTATATTTTGTTATTTTTGTACTCAATAATCGGGGTGAAGTTTTCTTTTAAGAAATAACCCTCTAATGAAATAAAGATAAAAAAAGTTTTCAGTGAATAATAATATGAAATGCCTTAATATTTACAAATAATTACATAATACATATGTCGTAAAATAACTGAAAAGGTTATTGAACGAAAGAACAATGACTTATTACCCAATTTTTTTTTTAATAATACAATTTTCCTACATGATTTTAAATGCGTATCGAGTTTAGGTCAAAGGTTGGTTGGAAATGTATTTAAAAAGAAATCGGGAAATTGTAATTGTATTTAAAATAAATATGTGTATTATGTAATATTTTAACGTTCTTTATTAATTTACAAAAAATAAATAAATTAGGATTTGTTAATTATATGTACCTATAGGAACAATCTGTCCCGCGTTGGACTTGGATGTCAGTTTTGTCGTATTGGCATTGCAATTGGTATCATCGTGGTTAAAGTTTATAAAATATTTCATGTGTAGGTAAATAAAAATACCCTCCAAATAGATCTTCGTCATCCTATTTCATTTCCATCATAGGTTCGGAGTTGCGGAGAACGCTGCATAGATGTTTCCCGCGACTTCGTCCGCGTAGAATACGAATTTTAATCTATAACTTTTTTACTATATTACTCGTTAGTAACTGTAGGTATATCAGTTACCTTCCAATAAAAGTCTTGCAAAATCGGTCCAGCCAATTAGCTAATAGGTATAAACAGACAGCAGTCTGTCTGTCTGCCAGTCAGTACAGACAACCAAAAATTGTAATAAATGCTACTTTGGTATGTGTATCGTATGTATATTCATATTCATGTAGTAAAGAGCTTTAATATTGGTTTTTATCACAGTGTTTTAGCGTCACCATTGTCATCTGAGGCTGAAAAATTGTATAGTTTAATTATTTTGTGTTTGAGCTTAAGGGCTAGTTAAACCTATAAACGGTGTAGCTACTTTATTTTTTGTATTGAATTTTGTATCTTATAATAGGGCTGACATTTTCCTCTAAAGAAAAAAGCACTTCTTATTAAATAAAGATAAAAAAAAATATATGCATGTGGTAAAAAGCGGGTATTCTAATATTACAAACAGACACTCCAATTTTATTTATCTGTATAGATGTATAGACTAACATGGACCACCACCAGAGCATAGTATAAAGAAATTATACTATGACCAGAGTATGTAGCAATTAAACAGATAGCAATCACTTCTACTGATATTGTCCTGCATTTTGCACCGACAAATTGGTGTTATTGTTAGCATTACATAGCTAAGATTGAAGATAAATATTATGCTAGACTAGTGTTTTTAAAAAATAATAATAATATTACAATAAATTGCTATGTATAACTTTAACGTTAATTTTCTTCCGAGTATAATTTTTATTTACCAACTTTGTGTTGTAAATAAAATATAAAGGCAAGATTTATTTTAATTATATAGGATTGATGAGAAAAATGGCAGATGTCAATATAGCGGACCCAAATCATAAACACGCTGCATGTCCAGGGTTCTCTTATCACAGGTGAGTCTGATCTGAGGATCTACATTTGGCAGCGATCGGGAGACTTACTCTTGAATCCAATACCTACTTATCTAAATATTGTAAATTGTTGTACTCTTGAGTTGCAACACTAGCGCCCATTGCATCCGTATTGCGTGATTATTTAAAGAACTAAATGGTTTTGAGTTTCGCCTTATACTCCGTACTCTGAATGGTATTTTAACAGCTTCGCCGCAGCACGCCTTTTATTCCCGATGGGGTAGACAGAGGTGCACATTACGCCACTTAAACTGTCAAACACCAAGCGGTCACCGGTGACCGGACCTATTGTTCTTTAATTGTGTCTATAAAACCGGTACTCGACGAGTTAATACCACTGTACAATGTAACACCAACTTTCTACTATTTATGTTATGAGTCCCATGTAATAGGAGGTGAAGTATACGACAATAGCCATATACCGGGCACAATCCGAGACTCCGTGCTACTACTGAGAATTTTTAAAAACCCAGTAATACTTTGCCCCACCCGGGAAGCGAACTCGACACCCCTTGTCTGGCAGTCGCACTTGCGACCACTCGGCCAACGAGGCAGTAATATGCACATATAATGCGACTATAATTTAATTTGAATCTTGTAAACGATTATTTGTATTGTAATTTAAGCAAATATTACCTAAATGATGCTTATTACTAAGAAATTGCATGATAATGGCACTTTTTACCGGTACTTATAGATTATTATAATGTAGGTAATAATGATACTTAGGTAAAATAAGTCTGTTGTGCAATTCTAAGTCTTATCTTACCTACCACGAGCTTCTGTTAATAGCTTGGTCGCGATACAGAGAGAAAGACTAAACTACATGACAATTAAGACTATAATCTATTTGACTAATTTAATTCAGATCCGTTCACAGTTTAACTCGTCGAGTACCGGTTTTATAGACACAATTAAAGAACAATAGGTCGCGGTCACCGGTGACCGCTTGGTGTTTGACAGTTTAAATCAAAGAGTAACAAATAAAATGAGGGTGTTCGACGCTCTGATTGGCCGGCTACAATGAACCGACCAATCAGAGAGGCGAACGCGGCAGTCTCGTTTCCATTACTTTTAACGTAAATCAAACTTGTACTAAGACTTGTTTATTACAAAAAGACAAGCCGTAGACTATGGAATTATCATTTTGGAAGCGAACTATATGACTAGTTCCTCAACCCATCATAAATTATTTAGTGTGGATTAAAAATATTCATAAAGTATTTAAAAGCGAAAGAGGTATGTAAGAATCGTAGTAATTGGCGTTCCTTAGTCTCTGCCTACCCCCATGGGAGACAGGCGTGAAGTTATGTATGTAAGTATGTATTTACACTTTCATTCTTGATTTTTTTTTAATTCGTTGCCTCACCCTACGATTTTCTCCTGTCGTGGGTGCGTTTACAAACATGCAAGTTCACATACATATAACACCCGGACCCGGAACAACAATCTGTGGATCACACAAAGACTTGTTCCGTGCGGGAATCGAGCCCGCGACACGTTGCGTGGCAGTCTGTTACCCAGCCACCGCGCCAACCGTGCAGTCAAAATGTAATGAAGTTAATAAAAATACGTATGAATGCATTGGAAAAAAGGACGGGTTTTTTGTCCAATCACAGTTGTTGTCAAATATTGAACGTCCAATAATGTGTTACTAGCTAATTCCCTATTGGATGAATAACGAGAGGTTCGATAATGCCATCTGGTGAGCGGAAACGGTAGGCCCATTTATTTTGGCGTGATCCGGTATATTATCATACGGATCACCTGATGGTCAGCAATCGGCGTTGCCAAAGGACACCTGGAATACTCGAGGCGTTACAAGTGCTTTACCGGCCTTTTGCGGATTAGGAGTTTAAGGGGATCAAGGAATTGGGGACATTGGGGAAGAGGAGGGGATAATTTGGCGTACGGTAACTGCACTGCCTCGTTGGCCGAGTGGTCGCAAGTGTGACTGTCGGGCAAGGGGTCTCGGATTCGATTCCCGGGTCGAGCAAAGTATTACTGGGTTTTTAAAAAATCTCAGTAGTAGCACGGCATATGGCAATAGGCTCACCCCCTATTACATGGGACTCGTAACATAAATAGTGAAAAGTGGGTGTTACATTGTACAGTGGCATAATGTACACCTCTGCCTACCCCTTCGGGGAAAAAGGCGTGATGTTATGTTGTTATGTTGGTAACTTCACTCACACGATGAAATACAACGCTAGCGTTGCTTCACGTCGGTTTTCTGTGAGGTGAGGTTTTGTGATTGTGACAAAACACAATGTAAATAAAAAAATAAGTTTGTTTCGCTTTTACAAACACATTTATTTTTTTATTGGTATAAGCCCGCAACAACCTTCCGAAACCGCTGGAAACCCTGTATAATAATAAAAAAAGTAGGATCCCAGGGTCTACAGTACCTAAATACACCCATGAAAACACCGGAACACTGAAGTCCAGAGCGTCCAAAAGACTGAAATTAAAATAAAGTTGATACATACACAAAGTATATTAATCAAAATGAAATGTACTTTAAATTGTTGAAAATCATCCCTTTAATTTGTTCATACAAAAGTAGTCTCTAAACATTGGAAATAAGGTCTATAATGTAGTTAGTGGAGTGGGGTCACCGGTGACCGCTTGGGAATAAAAGGTGCTCCAAAATATCATATATCATATTGACGTATAAAAACTCTTGTGGAATATATTTTATTGATCCTAATTTGCTAATAATGTTCTATATTTTTAGTCTAAATACTTTATTAATTTAATATTATCATTGTAAGATATATTTCTGTTTATATAGAAATATTTATTTAAGAAGAAATATAGCTAACTTATTTTTGCTATTTGTATTCAATAAATATGAATGAAATTTGTATTCAAGTTAATTGAATAAATAAATATATACAACTTAAAATATAACGAACTAAAACCTTAAATATTTACACCTTTAAAAAAGTAATATAAAAAAAAAGAAATTAATTTTAAATCATGTTAAAGACTACAAGTGACAAAGATTTCTTTACGCCCACGTCTGTACAATGTAGATAATTATATCGTAATAAAATATTATTTAAAGGAATGCATTATTATACTCCATGGTACTAATTAAACGAATATATCAAGTCTCATAAACCTACAGAAATTTGGTTCCGAAGCACGCAGGCACAGACAAAAAAATACATTTATGTTCCAGTCGTTCTGTTGGCTACGCAATAAGTCATTAAAAAAAATCCCGAAACAACACAAAACTATCAAGAAATTCAAAAACATCGACGCATCACGAACCCGTGGCGAAATATAAAACTTAATATTTGTTAATCAATGTTTTAGTCTGCGTGAAACTCTTGCGCAGACCAGTTGGGTCGGACACGAGAACATAATTATATTAATTTTTTTTTTTATCCCTAGATATATTTACTTAAGTATAATTTTGCAACTGATAAGTGAATAGTATTGTGAAGAGAAGATTGTTGTGATAATTTTAATACGATTTTTGATATAATTATTCACAATGGCGGTGGTCCAGCAGGCCTTACAAGGATACCATTATGTTTTTGACGAATTATCAGGTGAGTGATTTTGATATTTTTCCTTATTTTGTAAATAAAATCTATGAGCTGACTATGGGGTCATTATATTATGGGACGAGTCCCATAAGTGATGAAAAGTGAGTGTTACATTGTAAGTACATCTGTACAGTGGCCTGCAGCACCAACCTACTCCAATGTGTAAATTTTTGTCATTGGGTTTTAGACTTTATACTTAAACGACAGAATTGAAAATCTATTAACCGAAGAGAGTAGCTTGACCTGCCTACTGTAACTCAGTTTACCAATCGAGGATTAAAAAATATGAAAATGCCTGAATATAATGTTATGTAGGTCACAAAATCAAAATAAAATAAAACAATTTTATTATTTATATATTTCTTTATTGGTTTCTTTTTAACACGTAATATTATTATGCTAATGTTTATTGTTATACCGTCTTTTCAATATTTAATTAATTTTTCTGTACGATATAATATTTTATATGTTGGGTGAGCTTAGTCGCGTATACTAGACATAATTATAAACCCTATAATAGTTACTGCATTACTAAGAATGTAGTTATTTGAAATATTTCTTTATTTTTCTTTTTTGATAAAACTTTTCCCCACACTAGATTTTCCTATTGTGTCGTGGGTGCGTTTACAAACATATAACGTGTTTATATTAATGGTATTAATAAACTAATCACTAATAACATCTATACAGACTAATCAAATCGGAGTATCTGTTTGTAATATTGAAACCGCTTTTCAATATGTAGTATGCATGTGCATATGAATATATGTACATACGATACATATACCAAAATGACACTATTTACAAAGTTTGTCTGTACTGGCTAATCTCTGAAATGACTGTACCAATTTTGACAGGATTTTTATTGATAGGCAGCTACTGTAAGTTGTTGTTGGTCGAAGTTGTGCGTTCAGCTAATTTATAATAAGCAATTTGCTGACTGTATTATTATGTAACACAATTTGTTATGACTTTGTTTTGTTAATAGGTAATTGTGCTCGATACGTCGTTTTATTATTTGATAACTATACATTTTTTGATACAAAGCAATATAAAATAATCTTTGAGGTTTGCTATTCAGATACTAAATATCAAAATTGATCTACTTATTTTGATTTTATATTGAATATTTCAAATTTGTGTTGTGTTTCTTTCTTCCTTTAAGGAAGACTAACTATGCTTAACCTTTTGAGTACCGTCATTATAGACACAATTAAAGAAGAATAGGTTGCGGTCACCGGTGTCCTCGCGGTGTTTGACAGTTTAAAATAGGTTATGGTAACATAATGCCTCAGTACTGTGGAACATTCTTCACTCACCAACAATTTGTAAGTAACTACTGCTGACTAAAGGCATCTTCTCCCACGGAAAAGGTTTGAGCATTACATAATCATCACGCTTACTCAATGCGGGTTGGCGATTTCAAACTTATAATTAGAAATTATAAGCCCAGGTTTCTTCTTGTTCCTTTTATCAGTAGTGTCTAAATAATTTTATAATGTACCTATAACTCAAAAACAGTCACATTAGTACATGCCGTTAGTAGTTTTCGAAGCCGCACTCTTATACACGAGAAGCATAAATATTGTAGAACAGATAATGGGATTTTATCAGGAAAACCACGGAAAACAGCGAATACTATAACACGGAAATAAGGAATTATTAAATTGAACCCGTTTCCTTTGAAAACGTCATATTTTGATAACATGGACTAGGCTCAATATTTTTTTTAAGGGATAAGCCGTTTATCGAGCACATGGATCATCTGATAGTAAGCAATTGACATTGCCCATGGACACCCGGAACACCAGAGGCGTTATTATTTCAGGCAGTCAAGCAATATTTATTTTTGATGAGAATATAAACTGTCCGTCAGTGAAACTAGGCGCTCGTTCCAAAATTTAGATTTCAGTGGAGTAGAATGAGCATGAAACTCCATTCGTTACTTTTTTACAAAGTCTGTTATATTACAATACATACCTAGTTAGAAGTAGGTGTTATATTTAGGTAAGTATCCTTCTTTAGATGACCTTTGTTCAGGCAGTAAACGTATTCTTGCTGATGATGATGATGATTAAACAGCACGTTCACCATATTACCTAAAGGACGTTAACATGGGCCTTCCAGATAGGTTGTTTAAGAAACAACCACCATCATTAATCAAGTTTCTAATATTCCTTTCTTCTCCTCAGACCCTCGGACAAAGGACTGGTGGCTAATATCAGGACCTGGCCCACTCCTCACAATAATTGCAACGTACCTCTACTTCTGCACAAAGGCAGGACCACGATATATGAAGGACAAAAAGCCTTATAATCTAAAAGGAATTGTGATGGTCTACAATATTTTTCAGATTATTCTCAGTCTGTTCATGACTGTTCTTGTAAGTATAAAGCAAAGCAAAAGCAAGGACGTCGAAAGAAAAGCGGATACAGTATCTTTACACAATAACTGTGGCACCTATCTACTATAGAGTTACACGCAGAACATAGACACATTGACACGAATTGAAGTGAATCTATCATTTTCTTAAGTCTACTGACGTGGTAACCCATTACACACGTACACATAAATAACCAACTGATATTATTTGTGCGCTTCAATCGTTTCTAAGTGACATTGTATCCGCCTTTTTTTGGACGTCCTTGGTGATTAAGATTATTCTGGCTGCTTCATTAACAAAAAAGAATTTTTATGGGGTATTCCACTTTGCGCACCTAAATGAAGCGCACCCAGACGAAGCGCACCTAAAGTATTCCACTTTGCGCACCTGTAGGTGCGCTTAAAATAAAAATTTTAAATAAATAGTTTTTCTATTCCACGAAGCGCACCTACGAATATCACTCGCATAGTGCGGAGACTAAGAAATAAAAATATCGATATAAGAAAACATTTATTATTTAAAAGACTAACTTAAATATCTAACATCTGTCAGTTTCATGATAATAATGTGACACAATATTTGTCATTTTGATTTTGTAATCTTACTATTTAAAATCACAGATTGTTTCATAATTACAATAAAAACATGGACAAATATCAAATTGTGTCACATTATTATAATGAAACTGACAGATGTTAGATATTTAAGTTAGTCTTTTAAATAATGAATATTTTCTTTTATCGATATTTTTATTTCTTAGTCTCCGCACTATGCGAGTGATATTCGTAGGTGCGCTTCGTGGAATAGAAAAACTATTTATTTAAAATTTTTATTTTAAGCTCACCTACAGGTGCGCAAAGTGGAATACTTTAGGTGCGCTTCGTCTGGGTGCGCTTCATTTAGTTGCGCAAAGTGGAATACCCCATTTTTATTCCGTGTCTTATTCCGGGGTCCATGGGAGACAGGCGCGACCTATATGTTAAATCGGGGAAAACATTGATGTTTGTCGATGTATGAAAATCATAGTTGACGCTCAATTCTATAATTAATTACACAACTCCCATTAACTATAAGGGGTTTGATATAGGATTTGGATAAGAATAAGAATAATTTGTTTTCTATACTACAATTTGATTTTTATAATGAATAGTTAGTAATACAATTAAAATAAAAAAAATATGATAGACTATTTATGATGGTGTTATTTTGGGCAAAAAATGTATGATGTACAAAAATCTTAAATCAAAAACTATGATGTAGTAATTAGACCAACAAAGAATTTCAATGTGTACTTATGAATATTTTTGAGAATTAATATAATTATTATGATTATAAAAAGTACACTATACTAGGTACAACTACTGATATTAAATCATAGTCGGCGTTAATGTAACATTCATGGCAGTTAACTTGAATAAATAAAAAAACGAAAATAGTTTACGCATTAAGATTGTTGATCTACTTTAATTATACTCATCTCAGTGAGCAAACAAGGTTTAATTAAAACTGCAAAAAAAAAATCATCATTAGGCGTGGATCTTACAATTACCAAAAAAAATTTTTCGTTAATTCAGTAATTACTTACATATTTCTTTTTATAACATTTCAGACATAATTTAACCTGATTAATATTTATGCGAGGAATATTAACATTTCTTGTGGTGTTAAATTATTCCAAATACCTTTTTTTTGCTGAAAACGTAATTAATAGTCAGTATTATTATTGTAATACATTCTATATAATTATTAATTAAATTGTATTTGTGTAAATAATTCTAATTGTATTAAGTTGTAGTTTTTCGGGTTTCATTTTAACGCATCTTACTCTTCAATAATGTAATGTAATCTAATTTAGAATAAATATGTTTCTAATATTTTAAATGAGTGCGGAAGTTTGTAAGGATGTACTAAATATTTTATCTTATTTCATTGAACATTTACTGACCTAATACTGTTCTGTTTAATAAACAAAGTATGGGTAGGTAATAAGAATCATCATCATCATCATCATCATCATCATCATCATCATCATCAACAATCTATAAATGTCCACTGCTGAGCAAAACCTCTTCTCAAGCGGAGAAGGTTAGAGCATTAATCACCACGCTTGCTCAATGTGGGTTGGCGATTTCAAACTTATAATGAGAAATTATAAGTTCAGTATTCCTCACGATGTTTTTCCTTCACCATTTGTCAGTGGTGTCTAAATAATTTTAGAAAGTACATATAACTCGGAAAGACTCACATTGGTACTTGCCGTTGGTAGGTTTCGAACCTGCACCCTCATGATTGAGAAGCAGGCGTCTTAAACCTCCGGGCCACCACGACACAATAATAAGAATAAGTGAAATAAAAACATTTTAATATTTTTCTATTTTTATTCCAGGGTTTCTCTTTCTTTCTTTCTGAGAGTTATGAGAACAAATGCTATTCCGTGGATTACTCAGACAGCCCTAGAGCAATGCTAGTAAGTAATCATACCAATCATCCTATATGCTTTTTAATTAATCTTATATGTAAAGGTGTGCCTTTTAAATCGATTTGAATGGACGATTTTATTTGAGATCAGATTTTGATTAATTTTGGTTGTTTACCTATACAATTTCGCGGATAACCTAACGGGTTACCGGGGCTCCGGTTCGACGTGCAGGAGAGGGAACGGGGTGGTTTTTACTCAGTAAGAGTCTGACACTCCCTCCCGCCTCACCCAGGTGGGTGCAGACATTCGATGATTTCCCCCCTTAAAAAAACCTGTACAATGTGTCAAGGCAAATTACAGTATGAAATAAATACATAAAGTACTTCTTGTCTATGTTTAACCAGCGAAGCTATAGACAGAACCCATTATTTATGTATAACTTTCGTGAGACATGCTAAATTATTATGCTTAAAAACATAATAATTAATTAAGAAGCTAGTACCTTTTATTAATATTTGTGAACAATAATTGACTGCCTCGTTGGCCGAGTGGAAAGTGCGACTGCCGGGCAAGGGGTCTCGGGTTCGATTCTCGGGTCGGGCAAAGTATTACTGGGTTTTTTTTTTAAAAACTCAGTAGTAGCACGGAGTCTGGAAATGTGCCCGGTATATGGCAATAGGCTCACCCCCTATTACATGGGACCCATAACATAAATAGTGAAAAATGGGTGTTACATTGTACAGAGACATAACGTGCACCTTTGGGGATAAAAGGCGTGATGTTATGTTATGTTATGTAAATAATAATAATCTAAATGTAGAAGAGCTAAGTGTACGAGAGCCATGCTTCGGCACGAATGGGCCGGCTCGACGGGAGTATACCACGGCCGACCAGAAAACCGACGTGAAGAATCGCTTGCGTTGTGTTTCGTCGTGTGAGTGAGGTTACCTGAGGCCCAATTACCCTCCCCTTCCCCAATCTCCCCAATTCCTGAATCCCAAACGATCCTCAAACTCCTAATCCCCAAAAGGCTGGTAACGCACTTGTAACGCCTCTGGTGTTCCAGGTGTCCATGGGCGACGCCGATTGCTTACCATCAGGTGATCCGTCTGCTCGTTTACTTACGTAAGACATTAAAAAAAATGTAATGTAATAAACTGTGTCGGTCCATGCGCCAGACATCCTGTGTAATATGTCATGTTCCAATGGCTACCTCCACGTGCAAACTACTCCAAAAAGCAGTCATCGAACCAAAACTACATATGTATAATAAATTCGCTTAATTATGATCAGCAAACATAGTCCGTGTTGAACTAATAGTCACATATGTATGAGTATGTTGCAGTTACAAATGAAATAAGGAAAAATTATATAGACTTAAGCACTGCAAAGTAAACAATAATGTGACTTGTGTTTACTGTTCTAAGTTCAATGTTTAATGACAGTTTCTGTATCAATATGGATACTTACATAGTTAAGATTTTACAAATATAACTAGCGGACCCGACAGACGTTATCCTGCATATAATATAATAATAATAAGTATAGATAAATAACCAAGATTTCGATAGCAACACCACCTGCCGGGCTGGTTTGTGAATCTAAACCATTGCCAGATCCCCTTGAACACACACACAAAATTTCATTAAAATCGGTCCAGTCGTTTGAGAGAAGTTCAGTGACTTACACACTCACAGAAGAATTATATAATAATATATAAAGATTATGATGCTTTTTTTACAAAATCATAAACTTAGTATTTGTGTAATAAATGGATAGAGGTGTTTTTGCGTATAAATAATTAAAAGGTAAAAATAAATTTAGGTAAAAAAATTAAAAAATATTAAGGATATAAGTTAACGTTTTTCAATTTACAAACTTTATGTAATGTCAAATTTTAAAAGGACTTAACGCTCATATTTTTTAAGTATTACTGAGTTCTTCAAAAAAAAATCAGTAAAAGCATGAAGTCTGGAATTGTGCCCGGTATATGGCAATAGGCTCACCCACAGGCTCACCCCTTTTACATGGGACTCAAAACATAAATAATGAAAAGTGGATGTTACCCTATAGGTACATTGGCATTAAATGCCATAATGTGCACATCTGCCTACCGCTTCAGGGATAAAAAATGTAATATTACGTTCAATACCTACTTTTTACCTGACGATGCAAATTATGTTTTTGCTAGAAAATTTCACATAATTTATGTTATTTTTTACATTGACTAGTTAGACGTGTAAATTGTAATGTTTAGTTTAATGGTTAAACATTTTCCTTAACTGAAAATAAATTGTTATATAATAGTTTAACGACTTCCTTGTACCTACTGTAATTTAACGGGCTGAAATATCATTTATAAGTATATCCTTTCAATTTTTACTGCCATCATCATTTTGGTACATGATAAACTGAAAAGTTATAACATAACATGACATTCACGCCTTTTATCCCCAAAGGAGTAGGCAAAGGTGCACATTACGACACTTAATGGCACTGTCTAATATAACATCTACTTATCACTATTTATGTTATGAGTTCCATGTAATAGGGGGTGAGCCGATAGCCATGTACCAGGCACCGTGATGCTTCTGTATAATAGTTTTCGTATAATACAGTATAATACTTTTCCCGACCCGGAAATCGAACCCAAGACCTCTTGCACGGCAGTTGCACATGCAACCACTCGGCCAACGAGGCAGTCATATCATGCCAAATGAAAAGTTACATCATGTTAATATTAAGCATATTATATGTATTAAGCGTAATATAAATAGAAGTAAACAGAAGAATGCCATGCCATGTGATATATGTACGACCTACTTGTTCTTAGTAATGTTAGCGAGTTCTACAATTTATTATAACTGCAAACGGATCAACCTGAAAGGTAAAGTGAATACTGAATGGATGCGTCTATTTATCCCTTTTAACTGTACAATTTTGTGCACAATTTGGACACCCTTTGTTTCAAATAATTAACGAATTCAGAACAATGTATTTTCAATGACAAAACAGGCATAAAATTCAAGTGACCTGAAATGAGTATGTCTGCAATATATTTTTTTTAATTAAGACATTGTTATTTCTTGAATAATATTTATCTCAGTAGTAAAATGACAAGGTAATGTTTTTAAACGGACTAGGAAAGGTATTTATTTTAGATCCATCAAATAGATTCATAACTGTAATCATTAATTGGATTTTTTTTTGAGGGGTGAAAATCGTCCTATGACTTCTCCCGCCCGGGTGAGGCGGGAGGGAGTGTCAGACTCTTACTGACGAAAAACCACCCCGTTCCTACTCTTCGAGCCGGAGCTCCGGCAACCCGTTAAGTCCTCCGCGGCTCCGTATCGGCATCTGTGGTGGTCTGATGGCTCATCGTACGCTCGGGCATCATTAATTGGATCTAGATTCATAACTATATAATACTAGCTTCTGCCCGCGACTTCATACGTGCAATCCCGTTTTCTCCCATTCTCGTAGGATTTTTTTTAAGTCATAATATCCTTCTCCTATAAATAATAGATACAACAAAAAAAGAATTAGTGAAATCGGTCCAGTCATTCACGTTATTTACATTATATATGTACCTATATAGATGGTTTCATACATGGTGTCCAGACGGTCGTGATGCATTTAACTTGGATTACAATACCACTAATGAAGTGGAACTAGCGAAAACTGAGAGTATCTTCTCTTACAAAACTCATTTGCGTACGTTAACATAATAAGTCGTATTATAATGATAGTGAATGAATAAGTACGTAAAGTATTTCTCAGACATGTCGTGTCTTAAGATCAAAAGGCAAGGTAAAATATGTTGTTTGATAACAAACAAACTGTGATTCTGTAGAATAATCACGTACATGATATGGTCACCAATGTATGGCTGATCGCTCGGAATCTCCATACGATGCGTCACATTTTAAGTATTGGTATTAGCAATTAGTTTATCCAGTTACTGGTAATTCGTGTTAGATATGATTAATTTAAAATAGAACTTGCCTAAGCATTAGTCAGTTACAAATGTCAGTTTTGTAATTTCAAGTAAGTTAGTATGATATTGTCACGGCTTCTAGGAGTCATATTATCATTAAATATGAAAAATAAATAAATCATATAAATTACTTAACACAAATCCCATCGTGATCATCGACTCATCAACATCATTTCTCAAACCCAACTATAAATTTTAAGAAAAATGAAATTATAATAATATGCTTTTGTATTACAAATAAAAGTCATATTAATCAGTACGACGAAAAGATTTCAAATATTTAAAACCTTAGAGAAAAATTAAAAAAATAATGACGAAGTTTCATTCAGGTTCCATTCACTAGTGTTAATTTTGATATAATAAGGTAATTATAATCTTTGATGTAATGTTAACACGAATTAAACATTGATGTGAAATACGTGGTTTAAAATACATAAACATCTGTGATTCACAAAATGATTTGATACATTTTTGTTGATAAATTAAGCAATTGCGTGTGTCATGGGAATCTTAACTTATCTTTAGTATTGATGACAAGCCGAGTCCTAAGAATTTAAGCCACGGAATAAGATCAAGGTCACGCTCTCATATTCAAAAATTACATAGTGCCAATGCCATATACTGTTATGATTGATAGACAAATATTGCTCTATTCGTATATCGTATCGTATAATAATAATCAGGGCAATATTATTTTTTTAAACGGTCAAACACCAAGCGGTCTCCGGTGACCAAACCTATTGTCCTTTAATTGTGTCTATAAAATACGGTACTCGACGAGTTAATCTCTCTTAGGCTGCTTAAAATAACATAAAAATGTTAACTGTTGCAAGTTGCTTAACATAGGTAAAAATATAGGTTTGTCGAATAATCACTCAAATAAACCTTTTTATAAGGTTTTAGAGAACAATATTTATAATATGGGTCGCACATCTCACAAGCACGACTCTGGCACGGCTCAAACACGGCTCCGGCATGACGTTTTCTACTTTGAAAACAATACAATTTTTTTTTGTAATATTGACGTTATGAAATATGCCATACGAATTACGGTATAATTTATATTTAAATGACAACACTGACTGTCTCGTTGGCCGAGTGGTCGTAAATGCGACTGGGTCTCGGGTTCGATTCCCGGGCAGGGCAAAGTAATGCTGGGTTTTTAAATTCTCAATAGTAGCACGGAGTCTGGAATTGTGCCCGGTATAATGGCAAAAGGCTCACCCCTATTACATGGGACTCGTAACATAAATAGTGAAAAGTGGGTGGTTCATTGTACAGTGGCATTAAGTGCTGTAATGTGCACTTTGTTACCGCTTCGGGGATAAATAGCGTGATGTTATGTTATGTCAACATTACTGGGTTGGAGCTGTACCGGAGCCTTGATAGGTATGTGATGACTTTAATTTACATATTTTGCTTATCTAAAACCATAATATTTCTTGCAGTGGGCGTCAGGTGCTTGGTGGTTCTTCTTCGCCAAGATCACAGAACTGTTGGACACAGTCTTCTTCGTTCTACGAAAGAAGGACAGACAGATCTCCTTCCTCCATCTGTATCATCACAGTATAATGCCCATTATTGGGTGGATTGGAGTCAAGTATGCCGCAGGTATGTTTTTAATTATATCTTACTAGCTTCTGCCCGCGACTTCGTACGCGTAATCCAATTTTTTCCCGTCCCCGTTCGTGATTTTCGGTAAAAAGTAAAAAAAAGTATTGGTTAAAAAGTATCCTATGTCGGTCGCCTGGCTCTAAGCTACCTCCCTACCAATTTTCAGCCAAATCCTTTCTGCCGTTCTTGAGTTATAAGTAGTGTAACTAACACGACTTTCGTATATATATATACTAGCTTCTGCCCGCGACTTCGTACGCGCAATCCCGATATTTCCCGTTCCCGTTCTTGATTTCCGGTAAAAAGTAAAAAAAAAATTAGGTAAAAAGTATCCTATGTCCGTCCCCGGGTTCTAAGCTACCTCCCCACCAATTTTCATCCAAATCGATTTAGCCATTCTTGAGTTATAAATAGTGTAACTAACACGACTTTCTTTTATATATATAGATAGTTAGATGTATTAATTAAAGGTAAATAAAGCATGAGTAATAAATTCTTATATCTAGATTGTAATGTTCAAATATCAATTCTGCTTGTTCCATCCAACTATTAAGAGACAATCTGGCACAACACTAAATAATTCTAAACTAGATTTTGATACTGCGCTGATAATGCTGTAGTTTATGTTTGTCAAATATTTTGAAAATTGATGCTAATGTCGAAATGGTGTTATGATCATAATTCTCTAAATATTTAACAGCATTCAGTTATGCGAAGAAACCTTAATTAAACCTTCTTGCCTGACCAAGCATAATTACCAATACCAAAAAATAAAACGCTTAAACAAGTATGGTCGAAATTAATTATTATCTTATTCGGCTTACTTGCGTAATTATTTGACTAGGAACTCCATTAGTTTCAAGCCATGATAGAGGCTCATATTCATGTGCAGCATTCCGCGACCGTGAATTACGTGAGTAAGCCGAAAAATTTTATAATTAATTTAGTAGGTTTGTCTCGTAGGTTTGTAAAGTTATAATATAAATATTATTGTCTATTTTCAGGAGGGCAATCGATTCCCGAGGGTTGTATTAACGCGTTTATCCACGTAGTTATGTACACATACTACTTGATCTCCGGCCTTGGACCCCAGTACCAGAAGTACCTGTGGTGGAAGAAACATCTCACTACTATGCAACTGGTAAAGATTTTTCATTTCTGTAAATTATTAGGTAGCATAATCATAGCTGATACCTAGATTAACAGACTATTTTTACTGCCGTAATTTCTCTGGACTACATCTCGCATATTATGATCTAAACTAGCATGCAGTATTTTTGTTTAAAAACACGTTGCCCCACACTAGGATTTTCTCCTGTGTCGTGGGTGCGTTTACAAACATACAAGTTTACATACACATGACACCCAGACCAGAATCAACAATTTTTGGATTAGGTACATAAAGAGTTGATCCGTGCGGGAATCATTGCGCGGCAGCCGGTTGTCCAGCCACCCCATCAACCGTGCCGTTTAGTTTCTAATAACTAGTTCACTCCCATCTAGACATTACTAGTAATTCCTGCAACTGGTAACATCTTTAAAAAGTAATTAACATTCAATTTCAATTTAATACTTACCCAAATCATTAATTATTTACTGTTTTTCTTTCAGATTCAGTTCTGCATGATCGTCTACTTGAATGTCAACAGCCTATTCTCAAGCAGTTGCAACTATCCTAAGTACTTAAGCATCTTTGTCATGATGAACTGTTTCGCATTCTTCTACATGTTTGGAAAATTCTATTACAACAGCTACGTGCAAGGAACCAAAAAACATTTCGTACCCATTTGTCTGAAGTCACAGTGAAGTTGATTCTGCTTTCAAAGCTGTAGGTTAAGAATTGAGTCCAACGGTGGCAGTGTTTCAATTTCGCCTTCTATTGCTCCTCCGTCCTTTTTTTATAATCGACCATAAAATTGAGGGTGTACGTTTTAAACTCATTTGCACATCACAATTTTGACTAGGTTTATTTTTACTTATCGATATGTGATACTTTTGTATTGTTACAATTTTATAGAGCATAAATCTTATAGGTCAATGTTTTTATGGTCGTCTTTTACAATCTATTAACTTTAATATTAACTTTGTGTCCTATCTATAAAGTTGGTTTTTGAAGTTAAATGGCTAGCTCAAATCGCTTTATTTGTAAAGCGCCTGTACATATTTTTATATTTCCTGTTGCTGAACTGTATCTTAGTGTATAATTAATTATCTTTATCTTAATTTCTATAATAATATGTCATAATTATGTAAATAATAAATATTATTTAAACAGTAACTTTATGTTTGTCATTTTTCCTTTGATATCCTATATATCCCACATGCCACATAGACGGAAACCTTCTTAAATGCAGAGATTTAACCAATTCAGTAAAGAATACTTTATTTTAGGTTGAAAAATTAATCATTCGAGATTTAATTTTTTTATTCGTGTTTCTGAGCCAGCAGTCATACCCATTATAAGAGGAAAAATGAATTCTCAAATTTTATGACACCCATGAAATAATTTAAATTATTAGGATATTTTTTTTTGCTACACAACGCAGCATTATAAGTTAAAGGAAGCTAGGTATGTAGTTACAACGATTAATATCTTATTTCCAGACCAGAGTCCAGCAATCCAGACTTCATGATTTAGTACCAAAATTATTGGAAATCAGAAATTAACCAATGTGCCTACTACATTTCTATTCACACCATAGGCATAGTGATTATTGCTAATACGTTTAATTAAGAGAACCTTTCTGACTTCCATTACGGAAGAAATAATTTCTCATGCTCTTTTACTAAGACGTAAACTCGACGTATTCCTCTCGGGAGGTGATAATACAACTAATTTCCTACAAAATTAGGCCTGAGGTTTCTGGTTCGGAAGTGGTTAGTTTCTGAGATATTCAACATTTTCGGTTTTGGTAAAAAAATCCCGATCGAACTACAAAAACATTAATAAATAAAAAAAGATAAGTTTTAATTTGTTGTCAATACATCAATAAACATTTATTAATAATAATACTGGCAGAAATATCATTCGTTTTAAAATAGCAAGTAAATTAGTATCAAATTTAGTTTTGAGTCATTAATTTGCTAAATAGAAAACTGCATTTAGCTTAAAAAATTGATATTACCTACTCTAAGCGTACAAACAATTAGAAAAACTTTCTTGGTTCATTAGCTACCCATAAACACTAAATAATTTATAATATTCTCAAAATTGAATTCACAAATTGATGATAAGTAAAGAGTAAAAGAAAACGCGCAATTTCAAAAACATCATTATATACAATATTTTATTCAAAGTGTCCTTTCCTATGATGAAAACACACTCACGCGCTTCCTTGTCTCTGTGACGGTGACTCTTGAACTGAATGAGCGTCTTATTTCTTCAGCCGCTTCAATTATGTATGTTTGTAATTGGAACCTAATCATTATAAATTTACTACTGCTAATACTTTTCATGGCACGTGTATAATAAGCGTAGTACGTGCGTAAGCTATTGTTATTATTTAACGAAAATGATTCTGCTAAATACAAATTAAATACATTAATTATACGAAACATTAATTACAAATTATAATTATTAGGATAATATTTTTTTTTTCAGTATTGAAGTAAATAGTAGGTAAAGTTATAATATTTGGTTGGGCCTTATCAATATTCCTCATAATTATGGTAATAAAATTATTAACTTTCTAATTAATAAGTTAATTTATACTAATACATAACAAGCGACTAACCTTGGTTCCGACTATCTCCGGCCACCGTAAGCGCAGGCCTGCGGATGGCGAGTATGGGTGGCTCGCCACCTGACCAGAACCAGACCTGAGCGTACGGCGCGTCGCGTTCCGAGCGTGCCTCAAAGAGCCATCACACCACCACGGATGGGGCCCAATAGGGCTAGGATCACCGGGGAGAACCAAATGGTTTACCGGGGCTCCGGCTCGAAGTGCAGGAGAAGGAACGGGGTGGTTTTTAGTCGGTAAGAGTCTGACACTCCCTCCCGCCTCACCCAGGCGGGATCAGTTATTCGATGACAATACCCCTTAAAAAATAAAAAAATATAAAATAACCTTGGTTCCGCATTGGTAATTTTCTACGATTTCTATAATGATGTGCGTATCTATCAAATGCGAATGAAACTGTATTGAATCCATATTTGTTTTCAGACACTTGATAGACCAGAATCTTTGTGAACTCATATGCAGTTGCTACGCTAAAATATTGTCACAATACAATATTGCTAAACAATGTCGTTTTCTTGAATTAATTTATTATTAATTATAATATAGAAAAAGCAAACAAAATTATCAAAAGAATCAATAGACAATAGACAATAATCGTTATAAGTGTGGGAGAGTCATGCTTCGGTACGAATGGGCCGGCTCGACCGGAGTGATACCACGGCCTTACAGAAAACCAGCGTGCAACAACGCTTGCGATGTATTTTGTCGTGTGAGTGAGGATACTGGAAGCCCAATTATCCCCCTCCCCAATCTCCAAATCCCCTACAATCCTAAATTCTTAATCCCCAAAAGGCTGGTAACGCATTCGTAACGCCTTTAGTATTTCAAGTGTCCATGGGCGGCGCCGATTACCTATTTACTATCAGGATATCCGTATGCTCGATTACCGGCTTATCTCATAAAAAAAGAAAATAGTTAATTGACTGCACGTTTCGCGCGGTGGTTGGGCGACTGGCTGCCGCATATCGTGTCGCGGGTTCGATTCCCGCTAAGAACAACTCTTTGTGTGATCCATAGATTGTTGTTCCGGGTCTGGGTGTCATGTGTATGTGAACTTGTATGTTTGAAAACGTACTCACGACACAAGAGAAAATCCTAGTGTGGGCCAACGTTTAAAAACGAAAACAAATTTTTTTATAGTTCATCAATCAATCTTCACTCAACAATTCCTTTGGTTGTCCTTTTCCTTTTATTATCAATTCAGTACTCGTTTGGTAATATAGGTATGTCATCCCTACCCATTAACAGTCCATAGCAAATGATACGGCCACTTTTTTTTACTTAGCCTTGTTTTAGTCATAATTCATTCCTAATTCCAACTTTATCTAATCAACTTTTAATTTCAAATTTCGTCTCTGCCACCAGCAATTTAATACTATCTGTCTTTTTTGAATTTATCTTCCAAGCATTTTGAAGAATACTAACGTAATTGAAAAGATTTAAGAAAGATTCAATACAGATGAAGCAAACGAAGTACACCTATTTTTATAATTCATATAGTTCGATGCAGTTTGTCGTCTCAGATTGTCAAACAATGAAATTGTAATGGTGAAGAAACTGGAACTGAGACTGAATCTTGAATTTTTTCCCTACTCATTGAAGGTAAAAACTATATCTTCTGCGAAGTTGACCAGTTCTATAAAATCAGAATTTACCTCAATCTATTTACATTATTATTAGGTACATGTGTATTGTAGGTACATGTGTAAACATATATAGGAAATAATCTCATCCGCTCTTTGTTAGAATTTCGGCCTAATTAAACCGTTGAAGTTCAAAGGCCTCAATTGAAAACACGCATATATTATCATATTTATCCTACCTACATGTGTACATACAATGTTACCGTTATATGGTTTATTGGTACAAGAAGTACATCAATTTTCTAGGATCATCATCTTTGCTTTTCTAACTATCGTGAGACACACTAAATTAACTAAAAATCATGGGTTACTCACCTGTGTATCCTGATGCGACATCGCCACGACTACGCATGCTGATCATTATTAAGAACCCCTCTGTGTTTCTCAGTATATTCATCTAAGTAACCCACAATTTTTAGTTGATAATTATCTATCTAGAAATCAATTTTTAGAAGGTTTTATTTCAGAAAAAAATAATTACGCGAATAATGATTATTACTAGCTAACCTGGCAAACTTCATTCTGTCTAAAAACTTCTTTCTGACCTTTTGAACCATTTGAATAATAATTTTGAAATCCTTGAACCCAATATTGATTGATCCTTACACCTAAAATATCGATGCGTTGACCAAGTTGAACAGACTGAAAAAATAACGTTGCGATTACTGTAAGATAAAGTAAAATACTATTATATATATTTATTATTATGTACTTATTTTCTAAATATTCAACAAAAGTAATGTCGCATTTTTGCAAAGCCATAAGTTAGGTAACGTAAGTCACCAGTTGTTACATACCAACAAATATAACAATGAAGTATCCTCATACACATACATAAAATATAAGGTTGAAAGATACAAAGAACACACTTTTTTAACTCTATCCTACTATTACAATGTCAATGACATGAAATACTTCATTTTAAAATACACAATGACTTCTATTTATGTTAATTAAAACGAGGAAATCAACAAAGAAAAAGTAGAAAATAGACGGGGTCTCCGTACGGTTACTTTCGATGGAATTAAAATTGAACTGTATTCTCATTTGAATAGGTCATTTATTATGTCAGTAATTATGAACCAATGAATACAATATAACCCACTTTCCACGAACAGAACAGAATGTAAAAGTATATTTATTTGATTTAGAAATAATTATTTTCTATCCACTTGTCAAAAGATGGGAATAAAGACTCGGCTTCGGCAGGCTCTACTAACCTCACTACATAAAAAATAAATTATAAAACAAAGCCAAACTTATTTATTTCAATTAGACCAGGGCAGGACCTTTTGAACGTCAACAAAAATTTAAAAGTGAAGTTATTTGCTCAATCCATTCCTATGGAGAAGAGCGAGCAAGAAACTCCATAGGTTACTTTTTCATTTTCATGGTTCTTTGTCATGGTTTTCTAGAAACTACA